AACGCAAAGAAGATTCGCTCTACTACCGGCCAGAACGGATTGAATACAGAGGATAACACGACAGGGAAACCGCATGGCCATCCTTAGACTGGCAGGTCATCATACTCCTGATGAGCGGAATTTGCTGGATTAGACGGCCGGCAAACCTGAAGAATCACTAGGTTGGGAATAAAGGAGTACCACCCGGATGCACACTTACATGGCTGGGAAACGGTCATTAGACACGCTCTTTTATGAGTGGAGATGTTGTGCTATTACCCCCCTGGGATCTGGACTAGCCACCTTACCCTACCTTCAAGACTTCAAAGTAATGGACCCCCCGAACCTTTGCATGATCAATTTCCAATCCGCGTTTTCATGGAACCAACCTACCCTTCACCTTTTCTTACCGGAGTTGATTTGAAGAAACAAAACTGTAATACTGGGACCGACTTTCACATTTCTCACAAAATACGTGTCATCGATGACAAAGGAGGGTGGGAGGCATGTGTGTATGAATCGGATGTGGGCGGCACATTGTCTATTTGATACCAAAGAAAGTACGAACGGATTATAAGACGAGAATGAACCCCCAAGGGTGCAGTTGTCGTGTCGCGGTCTAAGAAGGGGCGTATGAGAAATGATTTTACGGGTAATGGGATACGGATAAGCGTGGGCTGGTGTCTTGTATTTGCTTTTTTTTGGCTACGGAAAAAAAAATCTCATATGCGAAATAGAGGGATTGAAAACGAGGTATACGTTTGAACCATGTTTGTGCTTGACCATCTGACCTTGCGATATACAACCATGATGAAAAGCTGAGGTCATACATTAACGACAGGTGACGCGAGGATCAATTCGTTACTCCAGCGGAGAGATGACGACTTAATTGTATATCCAGCGACTATTCCGAATGGCTGTATGCTTTGTTTTATCCAATCTTGCTGTTTCTCAGTCTCAATACTGATCTACTGCACTGGACGACCTACTGCCTAACGCAATGACTGGCCACCTCTTTTCTTCTTTGTTTTCTCCCTTAGAAATACCTAACTGTGCTCTTCATGGCAGTCTTGGATTAGAGGCGAGAGGTAGGCTCAGCTCCACAAGCAAAACATCACTAGAGCAGGATTTCGTTTGTGAAGTGTCGTTGTTCTCATACATAGTCTATGCATTACCGTATCATATATGCCTCTTTTGAGTGCATTACTCTGCAGCTCATGCCAGTTTACACGCCTGCTCCTCCAAGCCAGCCTACAGGTATGCCGATCCTACTCCTCCATCTCCATATCGTCACCGCCGCTTGCTTGGCCGTTTTGCCGCGAGTTCGACTTTGGTACCGAGGCTTCCTTGTCGATCATCTGCCGTGAGACGGAGACAATGTTGTCTTCGATGAGCTGCTGGCCGACGTCTGAGATGTCTGCAGGGTATGGTTAGCAAACAATTGGTATAATGTGACGAATCATACGTACGCTTCTTGGGGTCGACCTTTCCGACGTATCGCGTCTTTAGTTGGTCCTTGGTCAACTCCGTCTCCTCCTTCACTCGCTTCTCGTAGCCGTCTGCCAGTGTGACGAGCTTCTGCAGCCTGTCGGTATTCCGCTCGCCCTCGCCCTTGAAGTCGTCCATGAGCAACGCCTCTGTCCATACGTGCTTGTGCAGGTTCATCAACATGTTCTCCTCAAGCGCAGTCTTGCGGTAGTTGATGCCGATGGAGTAGTAGTGGCGGTTCAGGCCGTGGATAAGCGCCTGAATCGATGGCTTGTTGAGGTGACCGACGTTGGAGGTGGTCTGGCGGGGCTCGTGGCCCATCATAAGAGCTTGGGGGTTGATGAGGCGGAAAGCATCGATGACGACTTTGCCCTTGACGGACTGGATGGGGTCAACGACGACGGCGACGGCGCGGGGTGTGAGCTGCTCGAACGACTGCTGGGTGTTTATATCGACCGAGGATAGCCAGCAGCCGAAACCGGGATGTGAGTGGTACCAGCCGACGACGGTCTCTTGCCTGTGTTTGTCAGTGACTGATGCGCATGTTTGGAGCGGTGGCGGCTTTGAGCGCCCAGGCAGCGATGGCGTACCTTCCTGTTTGCCTCAACATGTCCATCATCTTGGTTTGGAAGACGGGGTCTACGGCCTCGACGGAGACACCGGTTCCTGACTGCGGCATGGCAAAGACATCCACCACTCGTACTGTGTAGTCATCCACAAACTCGCCCAGCATCAGACCCATGACTTCCATGGGTACACCTGCGCGACCGTGCCGCAGCATCTTGAGGAGCGCCAGGGAGGAAATGTAGACGGTTTCGGAGTTATCGATCAGGTTGGTGTCGCCCTGGGGTCCTCCCATACCGCCCATGCCACCTTGAGCGGCGGCGAGCATCCTAGTTAACCGATCCATGGTGGAGTACTGGCGATGGTTCTTCGATGGTTTCGGGCGGGTATATGGCGACGAGGTGAGAGGATTCGTGTGGTGGGCGAAGTGTTGTTTGGTAAGGCGGCAGCGATGATGAAGCTGTTGATGCTCGGAGCTCTCTCACGTAACTGCGCGACTGCATGCGGCGATTCAGTTGTTCCGGAACCGGCACTAGACAGGGGGACCCTGTCGCAGCTCTCATGGTAATGGCGCGCGAGGGTCTTTGTTAAAGCTCCCGCCATCTCTCTGCCAGGCCCCTCTACCTTTCGCCGAATGCTGATACTCGAACACCTCACCTTCTGTAGTCACCGTCGCCAGCAACATCCAGCCCAACTTTATCAAAATTGTCACGACAATATCATCACACATCCTCACAGTCGCATAGCTGTGCGCAGCCAATACAGATATGGCCAACTCCATGGAAGCCACGACGGGCTCCTCTTCTTTGAGCAATGGCGTCGCCTCGCAGCCAAAAAAGGTCGCGTACTTCTACGACTCCGACGTCGGCAATTACGCCTATGTAGCAGGACATCCAATGAAGCCCCACCGTATACGCATGGCGCACAGCTTGATCATGAACTATGGACTGTACACCAAAATGGAAATTTACGTAGGTGGAGCAGACATCAACTCTCCATGGATCTGTGCTAACAGACAGGCAGCGCGCTAAGCCCGCATCCAAATACGAGATGACGCAGTTCCACACCGACGAATACATCGAGTTCCTTCACAAGGTCACGCCTGACAACATGGAGAGCTTCACACGTGAGCAGAGCAAATACAACGTCGGAGATGATTGTCCAGTCTTTGACGGTCTATTTGAGTTCTGCGGTATCAGTGCCGGCGGAACCATGGAGGGCGCTGCGCGCTTGAACCGAGGAAAGTGCGACGTCGCGGTCAACTGGGCTGGAGGACTGCATCACGCGAAGAAGAGCGAGGCTAGCGGTTTCTGCTATGTCAACGACATTGTCTTGGGAATCATCGAGCTACTCCGATACAAGCAGCGCGTGCTCTACATCGACATCGACGTCCACCACGGAGATGGTGTCGAGGAAGCCTTCTACACGACCGATCGCGTCATGACCGTCTCATTCCACAAGTACGGCGAGTACTTCCCCGGTACCGGTGAATTGCGCGACATTGGTGTCGGCAGCGGCAAGAACTACTCGGTCAACTTTCCTCTTCGCGACGGCATCACCGACGAGACCTATCGCAACATTTTCGAGCCTGTTATCGAGGCTGTCATGACATACTACGGGCCAGAGGCTATTGTTCTGCAATGCGGTGGCGACAGTCTTTCTGGCGACAGGCTTGGTTGCTTCAACCTGAGCATGGACGGCCACGCCAACTGCGTCAAGTACGTCAAGAGCTTCGGCGTACCAGTCATAGTACTGGGAGGTGGTGGTTACACTATGAGGAATGTAGCGCGAACGTGGGCCTACGAAACGGGAGAACTCGTCTCGACCAAGATGTCCAAGCAGCTGCCTTTCAACGACTACTACGAATACTTCGCTCCCGACTATGAACTCGACGTCCGTCCTTCCAACATGGAGAACGCCAACTCTCATGACTACCTGCACAAGATTAAATCAGCCGTCATCGACAATATTCGGAGAACCGGAAAGCCTTCAGTCGAAGCCTTCACCAATATTCCGGATGTGCCTGCGGGTCTAACTCGCGCAACGGATTCAGACGCTGAAGATGAAGATGACGATCTCGATGCCGACGAGAACAAGGATGTGCGCATGACACAGCGTCAACGCGACCAGCAAATAGAACACGACGGCGAGCTCTACGACGCGAGCGATGACGAAGATTACAAGAACAGCCTCGGAGTGCGTGAGCAGCCCGGCACCAAGAAGAGGAGACATATCACCGACTTCCCAAACCCCAACGCTGCTCCGGAGGATGATTTGGATCGCATGGAGACCAATGGTGAAAGCGCCGTATCAACACGTCAAGCATCCGCAGCCGCAAAGTCGCGAACACAAACTCCTACCGCTGGCGAGCAAGAAGCTGACGAGGATGGCGACATCGACATGGACGCAGCGCCTGCTGCGACTGCCCCCGCTGCTGGCTCCACACGGTCACAATCGCCCGCAGGTGTCGTGACCCCACCCGAATCCCCACCAGCCGCAGCAGCAGCGACAACTATGGCACCCACTTCAGCTCCCACAGCAGACGTCGAGATGGAAAACAACGACGATAAGGAAGAAATTGCCGCTACCAAAGAAGAGGGTGATGCAGAACGCGACTCCGAAAACGTCAAAGGCGAAGTCCGCACAGAGGTCGCTAAGGACTAAGCACTCAACTGGCGGTTCTTTTGCTGCATTTGCGAGGCGTTCGTACTTTCTTATCGCACTGTTTTCTGGGTAAACTTCTTCTTGACGATGGGTAGCGGGGTAGGTGTTTTGGTGTGATGGGAAATAGCTTGCGTGAGTAGCGGAAGCTAGGGATACCTTTTTGGATTTTATTAAAGTATGTTATTCTGATGCAATGGGTCTGTTGTCTGACTATCATCTCAAGTCTCATGTGCTAGAATGAATATGAATACCAAAGCGACGATCAATTCCATGTCCTAAGTGCCATGTCACCAGTATTTCCCATCTCAAGAGTAGTCACCCCAAGTCTCAACATCCCACACCGGTCTCCTTGCTACACCCCCACTCGCCTTATTCCCTCTCTTCTTCCTGACCTCTTCGCACGCATGCACCACGTCCTCATCACCTGCCAACAGTCCACCTATGACACGCTCGGCCATGCCACAAAACTTGGCAACCATGCACTTGTAATGCCCCAGCGTACCAGTCGCCTCAACCAGCACATGCATCCTTGACTTAGCAGCCGTAGACGAAATAGAAGAACCAATACCAGATGCTGACGCAGAAGTGTCACGTCGACCCCCGTCTACTTTCCTGCCAGTCACACCAGCCTTGCTATCACTCTTCGTCTTCTCCGTCGACGTCATATCGTCTCTACTCTCCTCCCCCCCCCCCCCCCCCAACATCTTACCCACTCCGTACAACTTCTCCATCTTTATTTTCCTTAGTCCCTCCATCCTCATCGAAACAGGACTTTCCCTCCTCCTCTCCTTCCCATATTCCCCTTCATCGAAAACTACTAATGCGATTTTCAATACTGTCTCTACCTCCGTGTCTGTCTCCTCTTCTTTACTCATAAGAGGTACAAGCACCTTGATAATCGGCACACTGACACGAAATGGATCGCAGTCAGGGTCGTTGGTGTAGTATCGGACGAGGAAAGCGAGGTGTTTTGATGTTTCGTTGAGAAGGGATTTGGGGATTGAGGGATGGGATAGTTGGAGGTTGAGTTCGGAGAAGATGCGGAGACGGAGGGGGTCGAGTGGTGGCGGCATTGCAGTGTAGCGGTAGTGTGAGGATTGTGAAGAACGATCCAAGGATGATGTTGGTTCAATAGAGTTGGGAGAGAGCGCGGCACAACAGAAGGTATTATAGCTAGCTGGAATGATTCCTATGAGTGGAATGCTTGCTTCTGTGCAAGTATCCAGATTATTTTTTTCCTTTGCGTCACTAAGCATCACTCTAGTGTTTGTATATAGCATGTCAAGCTGCTTTGCCGTGATGAAAAGACGGGCTGATGCATGTATGACTTCAAACTAAATGTCGTAATATGTTTGTTAAAGAACTACTCCGAGTAGCAATCCATGCACATCGCATTCGCTGCAACTTTGTGTGTTTGATTGCTACGAGTCGTCTACACCTGGCAATTTCCATCTGATGTTTTGGCATGGGTGCGACATGATCCTCGTATACGCAACTTTTGAAGAAGTGCTAAAAGATCAACAGATTGTTTTGGCGCATTTGTATCCACGTTAATGAGTAGTCAAAACATATTCCTAGCATCTTTTCACACCACTCATCACATCTACCGTCATAGCTTGTCTCTCACACGCACCCTCAAAGCCCATACAAGAATGTCATCTTCGCATCCGCATACCTCGTTCCATCCAGCCTCTCCGCCTCAACCTGCTGCGCACTCTTCCCCCTCTTCCACGCCAATTTTCTCCTATTCACCTTCACGAGAATGAATCTATACGCCGTATACCCCAGCAGCGCCGCGACCACGAACCCCAGGGTGCCGTAAAAAGGCACCAAATACCTCGGTGCGTATTTCTTGCGATACAACTGCGCTCCAACAACACCAGCGAGATTACCGAAGCCATTGACACCAAGGACGAGGGAGCGTTTCCCTGGCTCGGGATTATTGCCGCTGAGCCAGGCGACGGTTAGGGGCGCAGAGATGTAGCTTCCGGAGAGGAGGATGCATAGACCTGCGTATTGCGCCGAGTGCGAGGGCGCGGTGACGGTGATAACGAGGCCGATGAGGGAGATGAAGATACCAGCGATGATGTGGTAGCCGCGTTCCTTGCGGTGGTCGGAACTCAGGGCGAAGAGACAGAGACCTACTGCGCCGCATACGAAGGGTGGTACGGACATCTAAAACGCCGGCTATGTTAGCTGCCATGTCTTCGAATAGAGTGGAATGTGTTTGAGTCTGCAGACATACCAGATTCGCATCAACACTTGAATACCCCAATCCCTGCACCACCATGGGCATGAAAACTGAAAATGCCTGACTAGGCACACTCGCACAGATATTGAAGAAGAGTAAGAACCACAACTTCCAATCCCGCGCGGTCTCCCTCGCATCTCGTCTCGTCAGCCTCTCCCTCTCCACACCATCACGCCCAAAGTCATGCGCAGTCCACGCAGAATTATCTTTGATAATGCGCTGAACAGCGAAAACCTTTTCTTCATTGCTGAGAAACCATGCTGAGCCCGGTCCAGCCGGCAACCAGAACCACGCGAGTATAGCGACGAGGACGGTCAGGCTACCTTCAATAATGAAGAGATACTGCCAGTTATGCAGGCGTGTGTGGTTGAGGTGGAAGATTCCGAATGCTAGGTTGGTATTAAAAGTGATACTACGGATTACTGAACAGGGTAAAGTAACATACCAATAGACCCCGAAAAAGCGCCGGCAATGGCGTACTGGCCGTAGAAAAGACCAATCCGAACAGCCATGTCGTAGCGCCCGTAGAAGGTAGATAGGTACGCGATGGCTGTGGGGTAGAAACCTGCTTCGAATGCTCCGACCATAAGGCGTACGGCGATGAGACTGCTCTTGCCACGGATGAAAGCGTGAGCTAGAGTGAAGATTCCCCATCCGATCTGTTTTTGGTCTTAGACGCTATGCATGGTAGAATATATGGGTGGTGAGCTTACCATCATGATAGTAATCCAATGTTTCGCACCTAGCCATCTCCCCACCGCCGCCGACGGAGGCTGAAGCAAGACGAATGTGATGAAGAAGAGCGAGACCGATAAATTGAGATCGTCCGGAGTTGCGCCGATGTCTTTTGTGAACCCTGCATTTCAACATTAGGAGTTCCGTTCCTTTGGTGTTCGTGGGGATCAGCAAATAGTCAATCTGATCGATCTAAACATACCTTGCGTCTCCGCATTCCCAACATTCGATCGATCTAAACCGTTAAACAGGTACAACAAGGACAGAAAAGGTAGAAGCGCAATGTCCAGTTTTCGGTTCACGCGACTGGACATGGAGCGCTCCTCAGAACTGGGATTCTCCTCGTCTGTCAATGTTGTAGTTCGACCTGCCAGGTCCATAGTAGAACTCATGACTCTCGATCTTCTGCTGCTGCTGTGGACACAAGTGGAAATAAGAGGATCTTCTTCTTCTATAGTAGTAAAACCCATAGTCAAGACAAGTTCCGCGCGATCAAGTGGCCAAGTCTTAGCTAGGTAAAAGACGCCCTTGACCATTTTCCTCATTCACATGTACGTAATTGCTTTGGTGAGGCTCTTCAAAAGCCAGGACCCTGGTCTTTGGCCTCCCGTGACCCATTGTCGATATGTTACCGCTTCTTTTCACCACATTGAATTTGTCCGATCAAAGGGTGGTTATACAGCTTGGCCTGCAGGAGCCTCCAGATCGAAGCGTGCCGGGCTAAGCTTGACCAATCGGAGCCCACCGCGCAAGGTGCGACCCCTGCTCGCTAGGTGGGTTTCGACTATGACGCCTCGGACGAAAGCCAAACGCTGTTTTTGCATATGGTTGCTTATCTCGACAAGAATGGTAAAAGGGTTTTCGTGGAGGTAAAGCTGGACTGGATATGATGACATCGTTTACTATCATCGAATGGCCGTCGGGATAATACGGAGTAATAGAAACTTCTCGAAACGATCTTCCATATGCCCTCGCCGCGCGGCATCTCGAAGCAGGAGCTTTATGCACTACACGTGCCGTTACCAAGTTCTTGTCTCGTTTATCGGTTATAGCGTCGACCGGCCCTCGGTGGACCAGCAAGGTGGAAAGAGCTACTTGCCTTCGGGCGTTTCCTCATCAGTGTCACTGCAGTGGCGTGATTGGTTGTACATTCCGCGTGCATGAGAGGGCGCCGCGGGGAGAATAAGGTTTCTGATCGATCACTCGTCCGGGTAGAATTCCCGGTGGATATAGTCCGTTTCAAATGAGTAAGCTATTATGTAGCTTCAATCCGTCACTCTGCATCCAGGTTCGTAGCTCCTGGTACACAGTACCAGCTGTGGTGTTCGATGCGTTTCCTTGAAGTTCTGCGCCTCGTTGCGCATTGTACTGCGGTCCGGGAGTGTTGATGACCAGACCGGGGTCGTTGCTTTGCTCGAAGTGTCCATGACCATGGGAGAGGTAGCGGTCAACCAGGGCCTTGAGATCTTGCAGGACTTTGTAACAGTCTCTGGGGTAGTTAGTACCGGTTCTTGACTCCTCTTCGAAGGTGCGCATCGCAAAATCTATTTCCGAGCCGTACACCGGGATGTTAAGCGCGGTAGCCGTGGGTGCCGTGCTGGAAGAGTGGAGAATCTGATCTATTATCAAGATAACAGCTGCGTTAAAGACAAAGTGTAGACCGGCTTGCAGCAGCTTCCTTGTAGATCGCAATCGCTTGGCTAAAAGCAAATTTCGCTGGGCGGCCTCTGGACAGGCCTGAACATATTTGCTATGCGCATGTTGATGTACAGACCACTGGCCATTCATGTAGCGTTCAGCCACGGCTTGCTTGACAGCTGCTAGGAGAATGGGCCGAGTCGTGAGGACGATGAGTTGGTTGTAAGCTAGATGGAGGGACAGAACCGCGGGGTCAGCGTCAACGTCAATAGCTAGCAGCGGCGGTAGGTTGAGCTTCCAGTTCTCGAGCAATTCTAAAGCCTTGTCCACATGCAAGGTCGAGTAACCGCGTTGATAGTGTCGCGGAGCGATCTTGAACGTCTCGCAGACGATGTAGCCAGAAATTCGTGATAACTCTACATGCGCTCGGAGACCAGCACATGGCGACATTGAGCTGAGAAGTTTAGCAAAGGTCTCCAATTTACATGTACCCGATACTTACGGCACGTCGCATGGTAGAGGGAGCCTAATAGCTTCATCAAGTAGGGTTGGCGGACGCCCCATCAACACGGAAAGCCATCTGTCCAATACGTAGAGAGTCCAGAATGTGCGTTTGCTCCCTTCATCGTTGCAAGACCTGAAGGCACCATGTATAATAGCAATGTGAATCGCCAAACTGACCTGAATATTGTCAGTGCGTCTTGTATGCAGTGCTTCTATGGTCTCCACTCACATATACGTATGCTGCATCTCTGCGGTTAAGCTCGATGAGGTAGAAACCCATGAGTGTCAATACAGGTACATCATCCAAGGTGAATCGCACAGTATCCAGTGGATTTCCAAGGAGTTTTCGTGCACGCTTGAAGTACGCCTCTCCTGCGTGCTGGTCTGAGCGTCGGAGAGACTGATGGCCGAAAGACGTAGCTAGGGCGAAGCAGACATGGTAGAAGGCCAAGTGTCGGTGGGTGTCGACCGTCGTCATTGCACTCAACGAGACAGAAGGGGCCGCAGATGTGGGAAACTGGGTGAGATCGCCCCACCCTGGATAGAACATCAGTGAAAGCACGGTCAGTCATCCACACATAGCTTACAGTATATCCCACCAGACAAAAACTCGCCATTACCGTCCTGGATGTAAGCTCGCAGTTGAGCAAGCATCAACGCCATGTCGTCCTGATCAGGAAGCCACAAAGCATCCACACTCGGATTGGGGATTGGCCGCGAGTCGTATGTCTGATAGCGTCCAATTGAGGCAACGAATGAAGACCCATCCGCCGACTCGGGCTGGAAGGTCAGAGGAACCAAAGTAAGCATGAATTGCTTCAGGTAATCCAGAAAGGTTGCTCCAGACGTTTCACCAAAGAACCTCGGAGTGCCACATGGGTCAACAAGCAGGCGGCCATCGTTCGTGTCGGCTTGATCCAGCTCCATTGAGACGGAGGATAGAAAAGTCGGCGCGGTCGAACGCGTTCCTTGTCCGCCATGGTCGAGCTGTCCAATGATTTCGGCGGCGTCTTCTGGTGCAGCGATCTTGAACCCCGTTTCGAGTGCTGCACAGCGCACTCGCAAGCGTTCGAGCTCGTCTTTCAAGGAGTGCTTATCTGATTCCGGTGCCGGGTACTCGCACTCGCGCGAGGTTTTGCTGCATCGTTGGCACGGCTGCTCCCCCGTGCACCGAACTCGACGAACGTTGCACGCGTTGCATCTACGCTCTGTAAGTCAGTGATGCGTTCAAGGCGCGTGTTTGCACGGTGCATGACTTGAACGATGCGCGTGTTCTCCATGCTGCCAATGAGCCATGCTGACGTATGCGAATGCCAATTGCCTGGGCGACATCCGTCGGCACCGTGGTACCAGAAAATCACAACCAGTACCAACGCGAAAGATGAGGCTGGGGATTTACTCACGCTCTGACGACGCGCTTTCGTAACGACGGGTCGACCTTGTGCCGTCTTGGATTAACAGGCAGGCGCTGGGGCTGGGGAGAAGAAGATTTGGAGGAAGGTGTGAAGTTGGACTGCATTTCGGACCGAACGGTTCAATTCTGTCGGTAGTACACTCGCTGCCATGGATTGTGTGGGGAGGGATTGTGGGTGAGGAACAGTAGCACCGAAGAAGGGAAGACGCGAAATATGTTCGGAAGCGTGCAGTTGGCGGCTCCTGGACCCCACGAGCCTAGTTACACGGCACGTCACCGCCATCGTCGTGTTGAGACTTCTAAAGACCAGTATACCACTGCCATTTGCAATGAAGGCGAAGAGGTCAAAATCCCGAATGCGATAAAACAAAAATATGCGACATGTGCCATATGTTGTTTGCCTTCACGATCCAATCACACGCTCTGGGAATGCCTCCATAGGGACCGGAAGGCGCGATGGCAGGGTGGCCTGATTAGCATGCGCGAGGCTGCAGCAAGAAGTCATACCACCAACACCTCGATACCTTCACCGGTATACACGCTTTACCTCAGAAAGAGGGTATCGGGTTGTTGAATCCCATGTTTTACTTTTGGCCGGATGCCCAGAAATCCTTCGCTGTGTAAACCTATCAGATGAAGGTTCTCGTATCAACGTGTCACGCTATGACTACCGATGGTAAGAACGAGGCGCGCGCCAATGCGGTACTTGAAAACAGAAGCTTGATATTAGAGGTTTGTATACCTTCAACGGGTATAGAGATCAAATTAGAATGCTTGGAAGGTCGTTTCATGGGACGCCAAACGGTACGGATCGAAGGAAAGCCGCGGGCTAATGCGCGTCAAGAAAAGGAAAGAGAAAACATGTTGCCGCCGAACGCAAACGCAGCTCTAGACTCCGCCACATGTCGCGTGGCTTCATTTCTCCAATTCAACAGCTAATTGCCACCTGCACGCCGTCCGGATCATGTATTTGGCCTCTTCTTCGCTCATCCAGTTCATCTCTTCACCCCCATTCCACTTGATGCCAACAATCTTTCCAGCGCCCTCGCCTTTTGTATCCATTACCACAAACAGTTCCGCGACTTTCATGCCGGTCCAACTTCGATGGAAGTGCACCTTGAGCTTTCCTGCCTGATCAGGTCCCTCGCTGTAGATGTACCACTTGTCGTCCATGTCTTTTGGGGCATAACCCAAATATAACGAGTGTATTTGTGAAGGTGGGAGGAAGATATTCCACGATGTTATGAGAGGCTTGCCGGGGAATGGCATGGTTGGTAGCGCGCTTGGAAGGATGCGTCGCCGTGGTTCTGGAGACGGTGGAGGTGTAAACTCGCTCCGATTGCGTTGATATATTGGCAACTCGATGCGCTGAATGTGTGTGACCATCTTGGGCTGTTGAGGTTTCGAAGCAGCGATCGTTACGATAGGACTCTTCTCTGTCGGTGACGCCGGTGGTGTGAGAAGGTTCGACGGTCGGTGTGATGGACGGCGCTGGAGCCTCCTCGGTGACTGTGGATTGGGCGATTGTAAATAGGGTGATCGTAGCCCCTCGCTCATTAAGAACGGTGAGGGAGGAGCATCGCCACGATCCCGCCTGGAGAAACGTCGGAATATCGACTTCTTCCTCGAGAGCGGCTGTGGTGATTCGAGAGCCATCATCTTACTATTACCCCACTATGCGATTCGTCTGATTAGGTCCTGGGTGCAAAAGGCGATTCTCCAAAGTGAGTCTAACGGTGAACGAGAGTATAAACGAGAGTAATAGTCCGACCAACCTCTTACCAAACAACGGAGTGGGGAAGGGAAAGTGTACCGTGCAAGACAAATACGGTGGTGGTACTCAGCCGCACCCCTCGCGCGGGCTGAGTCTGGCTTTATTTAGCATGCGTATTCCAACTGCATCCGGACAAGCGAGTATCCCTCAGCGCACCCAGATCCACACCGTCAGCACGGAACTTCAAAACTCCTGCATGGTGTGGGCTGGCAAGCCTGAGAAAAAGTCGGGGCGTGTGATCAGCCTGGAGATGGCTGGAAAGGAGTTCTGTTGGTGGTCCGGCAATGGCAAGCGTCACTTTGACGCGGGAAGCGCACGGTCTTTGCTAGGAAGCGCCCGAAATAGTGCATCGTCAATCTCTGGGTCGATGCGCGAATGGAACTTTATCGCCGGCTGTATCCAGACTGGGGAACTCCCCTGGATTTTCCAATTTCCCATGGGTATTCTCGTACTTGAGAATTGCGAGAGCAGTTGTCGTGTTGCGAGCTCCTCGCATACGTGTACGCTTTGCCACAAAAAGATCCTTCGCCAACCTGCAAGCACGACGATCGTATCGGCTCCTCAATGCCGAAAATTGCCCACAAACCTACGTTTCATAGATATCACGGTCGCACAATCAGACCAATACACACGACTGGTGTGCAACGCAATCTGCCCAGTGAACTGTCTCTGGTTCCACAGTCTTGGATTTTAGCCACCAACAAGGCCGGACAAAGCCAATCACAATTCCATTGTCCCATCTCACGATCTGTGCTAGGCCGGGCTAACAAAGGGTAGTTCGCGCGCCAATGTAGCTCTACGACGTGATGGATGTGACGGGTGGGTCGATCGTGACCTGTACGAGTTTAGCTGGATCCCACGAGAAATTCACGAGCACCAGCGTGGCACAGGGTGTTCGCATCCGATCGAATACCAAGAGCAGACTACCGGAGAATTGATAGCGCATCTTCTAGGTCGGCGTCTCTACCCGCTGGATCGACTGGTAAACATTACGCTGTCTCCGGTTCCCTGGGCTAAAGGGTCATCGAAATTTGTGGATTGAGTTCGTCATAACGGATCGTCAGAGGCTCAGTTTATTGATGAACTAGCTTCGTTCTCCTTTTCATCAGGAGCTGCTGCATCAAGGAAAGGCAGATGATTTTCTTTTGATAAGGCACTCTCCAATGATTAGACCAGACGCGAACAAGAAACGCCAGAATCTGTACAATGCGGGGTGAGCGACTTCAATCAAAGCCACCCTGCGCCTATCATGCAGACATGACCGGTACGACAGCCAGCCACATCGAAGACTAGCCGAAGCCACAGGACGATTTACCGCGATCCAGATCATTCGCTAGTAGACTAAAGAATATCTAGAGCAACAGGCTACATATGCATCATGCCTCTTAAGAGCTCAGCCGCAAAAGATCAGCGCAGTACATCGCAGAGAAGACTTTCCAAAACGCCAGCAAGATCTAGACACCTGGTAGAATAGACGCAGTAGTAGCAGTAGAAGATCTAGACAACAGCAGTATTCATCCACTACAACACCACTACTTCTACATCGGCCCGACGACTGCAAGACTTCAGCTCCTCATTCTTACTCCAACTTCAGCACCTCGACATCCCCAGTACCGAAACTAACATTGTACGGCGCACAGTATGTACTAGTGTTGGAGTAGATATCATACTTGGGCCACATGCGGTTCTCACACGACCACACGCTACAATCCAGATCCAAGATGCTCTGAGCAGAAAGGCCGTAAACGCCCTCGCTATGATAGTCGTCAGCTAAAAGGCAGCATCACAGGAATGCGGGAGATAAAAGACATACTTCTCACACGTCCAACTCATCTCTACCGTCAAATCATAAATCGTCACATTCTTTTCATCCAGCTTCGTCGTGTCGAAATTGAACGTCGCACTATTGGTCCAGCACCAAGGGTCCTCCCTCTCTTCTTCGCCTCCTGCAGGCGCGAAGTTGCATTCGTAGGTTACGGAGGAGGAGAAGAGAGCGTAAGCATTGTAAGATACGGCGCTGCAGGTGATGGGAACTTCGATGGCGCTGTTGGTCATAGTGAAGATGACGCCTTGTCGGGGGCCTTGTGCGGATGGCGTGACAAATAGGACATAGGAGTAGAATCTGATGTCGGTGAGGGAGAGGGAGGGGAGGGCTGCGGCGGTGGGGGTTTTGAGGGAGAGGAGGGGGAGGATGGTCAGGAGGAGGGATGGGGTGTGCATGATGGCGTTTCGCGTCGAGGGCTCTTTGCGATTTTGTTTGGACTGGATCAAGGTGTCAACGAAGGAGTGAGATCGGTTTGGTGCACGCAGGATTATAAGTAACCCAATTTCGTCGCCAACATTGTGTTAACGTCAAATATGGTAATGAGTACTCCGCCATTCTCAGTAAGAAAGGTGTCATGCGGGGAATGAGTACTTCCTTCAGAAAAGCCACCCGTTGCAAGCTGGAGGCTGTGTTCTCTCGTTGGGGAATGACTTCACTGTACATTATGGTGGTCGTTGCTAGATATACCCTTCGCACTGAACCTTGCGTCACCTTTGCTCGTGGCGTGATTGTACGTGGAGTTACATGCCTACGTAGATACCAGATCACGCACGACAAACGGATGTGGCGTTGAAAAGCCAAGTGAGGAGATGATCTTGAGCAAGTCCAAATCAGTGATGTAGATTCTATAATTGGCTGCATTGAGATAAAGCAACCCGAGCTAGCTTTTCATGTTGCACGCCGTGCTCCGCAATTTACTCACTTCACTGCATTGCAACCTTTTCGAGCTAGGAAGTAGGGATGTATTGCTTAAACTATACGCAAAGCTACTCTTACTCCTTGTAGGTAATAGTCTTCATCCTCAAGAACTCCTCGATACCCCAGTGACCATTGAAACGACCAAATCCACTCGCCTTCGCACCACCATGCGGCAAGGTCCATTCATCGTGCACCGTCATGGAGTTGATATGGATAGCGCTGTATTCACCCGTTAGTAAGAGAATCTCCTTATAGTAATGTGTGCGCCACATCATGCGATATTGACAAAGACTTACCCGCTTTCAATCTGCTTTGCAATGCGTAAACCGCGACCAAGGTTCTCTGTGAACACAGCACCAGACAGACCATAGTCGGTGTCATTAGCGATCTCGATAGCTTCCTCATCGCTAGAGATCTCGATGACGGAGACAGAAGGACCGAAAGACTCGGTGTGGAAGAGGTCCATGTCCTTTGTCACGCCGTCAACAATGATGGGCCGCATACGTGTGGCCGAAGCTTCGTTCGTCTCGGGATGCTTCTCATCTTTCTCGTGGTCGCCTTGTACGACTTTTGCGCCATTCTTGACCGCATTGGCAACAAGATTCTTGTTCTTCTCTACACCGGGCGCAGCAACAAGGACAGGTGCGGGCTTGTCGCCGCCAAAGATGCCTTCGACGGCGCCCTTGAAGGCTTCGATGAATTGCGGCTTGATGTCCTTGTGCACGAGAATGCGTTCTGAGCTCATGCAGATCTGGCCTGCATGCAGGAAAGCACCAAGTGCACATTGTACTGCTGCTGTTTGCAAGTTTGCATCGTCGAGGACGATGGCGCTCGCTTTGCCACCTAGTTCGAGCAGAACGGGCTTGAGGTTCTTACCAGCTGTTGATGCGATGATGCGACCCACAGCCGTGGAACCAGTGAAGTTGATCTTCTTGATTGCGGGCTCCTCGATCAAGGCCGTGGTGACTTGCGCCGCGTCTTCGGGACGATGAACAAGTACGTTGAGCGCACCAGCGGGAAGACCAGCCTCAGTCAAGGCGCTACCAATGGCCCACCATGTACGAGGACAGAATTCGCTACCCTTCAGGATGCAGGTGTTACCCGCAGCTAGAGGGTACAGAATCGATCGCATGCCAAGCACATATGGGGCGTTCCTGGTGCTCGCATCAGCCTTGCGCGTACAAGTACCAACACAAAGATACTTACCAAGGCGCAATGCCCAACACAACGCCATAAGGCTCCTTGATGATCAACGCACTGGTGCCCTCCTCTTCACAGCTGGGAATGTGTCCCATGACCGCACTCAGCCTGCCAGCTACATCTCTCAGCATATCCGCCATCTTGGGCACGTTGAACCCATTGCTGAAGTTATCCGCAGCACCGGTTTCGATCTTCATGTAGTCTGCGAATTCTTCCGCGCGCGCATCGATTACGTCGGCGGCCTTCAGGAAGATGTTGCGTTTAGCGGAATGCTTCATCTTGGACCAAGCAGGGAAGGCGCCCTTTGCCGCCGCAACGGCACTCTTGGCCTCTTCCAGAGAGGCGGACGAAGAGCTCCATACTTCCTTGTGCGACGAGGGTGATGTTACGGGAAAGGTGGTCTTGGTCGTGACCTCCTTGCCGTTGATGAGGAGGGGTACGACGTAGGACGGATCCGGCTTAACCACTGAGGGGTTAGACATCTTTGCTTTTGACCTTTATACTGCCAATCGCTGTTGATGAGTATGTTGTTGCTTTTCAACAATAAGGACGATGTAAAGAAACGATGAAACGGGCCGTAGAAGTACCGAGATGGATTCGCATAGCAATATCGGCACTTCAGAAGTGCGGTTAGGGGGCAAGTGGCCGGCTTGTGGAGACGGCACGGGTCCGAGGCGAGTAGACGGGCGAAACCGATGCATGGAGGGGTCATAAACATTGGCATGAATTGTCGCATAATATATTACTACATGTAACAGCTTCTTCGATAGGCGAGTAGGCGGCGGAAAAATTCCATGTCGTTGTCTCGGTCACCGAGATGGGAGCTGGGAACAACCTGGAATGATCTGCTGCCGACGTCGCAAAGTTGGTGTGTGTGCGCGCGTCGTACGGAACACCTACAGGGTCTTCATGTAAGGCCTTCCTCGGTTCAAGATGCCTCGTATAGATGCATTACAGTCACAAGTTGTCGCACCCCGGATGAAGGCTTGACCATCATGACGTCATCTCTCTAGATCAGCGGGGTACTGATAAACCTTTCCCTCGCGAATTTCCACTTGCTCCAGCGTCCGAACCAACTCCATCGGGATCCACTCGAGCTGGCGGTCAACGACAGAAGGCACCTGCATGTAACTGGAAGGTACGTTCAATGTGTGAGGACGGGTGTCGCTCAACACAATGTGTATTGTTGGTCTTCCGCGCAAAGTCCATATGCCATCCGTGTAGTGTTCTAATTCGAGCATGCTCTCTCGCAGCTGCTTTGCGCAAACTCGCCAATGGCATAGCACCATCTCGGCACACTCCTCGAGTGCTTCGCATAGCTGTGCGCACGTTTCGCCGCATGAATCCAGTACGTGTACAATATTATTCATTGAATCATTGGAAGAGAATGGATATCCGAAAGTTCTAGTAGTTCCGGATCCTGAAATGGTACTCGGACACGTAGTTCTATCGTTTTACAAGGTGGCTGTGTCAACTGCATCGGGCCCACTAGGTCAACAAAAGTTCGTAGGTAAGGGGTGGCTCCAAATATGAGGTTGTCAATTTGGTCCAATGACTGAAGTTTGAACTCATACGCTTCGACGGACTCCGTTAGCTGCCGTGCGAACACAGTTTGGAAGTAAGGGTTCATCTTGAACTTTGTGAAGTCGAGCCACTTGTTTGTGTACGAGTTCAACGAATAGCGACTCCGAACCTGACCGTGCAAGATCTTGAGATGATCAGGTAGGGCCTTCGACGCGTAGATGCGAGCGGGCCAGTAAGGTGGATATATCCCGGACCACTCAGGACTTTGTGCAGTGACCCTTGCAGCATCGCATGACTCCTGGAGTTCACGTAAGAGCAGCAACTCTTGCTCAAATTTCTGAAAATCTTCGTCACTAGGCTCGGAGAGACCACCCGTGGCATTCAGGTCTTGCGAACTGCCAAGCTCTATATCTTCGTAGGGCTGCGATGGACGAAATGAATCTCATGTGCCCATCATGTGAGCAACGGTATATCTCCAGAGAACTGATACGTTCCAGGTAACGCGTATCTGGGTTTCGGCATCGGCGAAGCGGATGATTTTCTCCACAAGTTCCGGGACATGGCCAACCTTCTCGATGACACTGACTACGCGACTTCGATCCATGGGTATTGTGCGCTGGTGTTGTTCTGAATCTACGGCTTTAGATGCCGATGCAACTGTGCTACGCCATATACGAAGTAAGTTCCTCGAGAGTTGTCTCATCCTGCCCAGCAATGAAAGCACGGCGCGAACGACCCTTACTGTTCGACAGTTGGGCCATGGTCTTGGGTAGAGTTCGATACGCTTGTCAATCATGGCGAGGACCGAAGTTTTCCATCGATCCAACTCTTGTCCTTCGGGTGCTGCGTGCGCATTTTTGACTGGCGGCTCGGGGCCGCCTTCAGCGGAAGGCATCTCTCGTTGCGATAGGATGAGGAAGAGAGTGAACGATTGCTGTATGTATTGCGGAAAGATTCTGCACTCGCATTGTTTTGTGTCGTCATGTTAGTGGCGACGTTGCGAAGTTTGCGTTTGAGATGTGACCTGCGCAAACCTGCTGCCTTGGGTGAGGACACATTTTGGTACTGACTAGCATCGGCCATCACAATTTGGAACCCGCTAAAAGACCAGTTGTGTAATGCGTTATGGTTTTTAAGGCATTTGTATAATTCTGAGTCCTCTGAGTCTGCTGGTCTTCATGTAGACAAGCGGGAGTGACTCTCAGAAAAGGCCGCCATCGTGATGTCCTGAGCAATGCTGTTCCATCAATCCTCGTCGCTATACAGATCATACTCATCTGAGGAGCGCGATGAGTCAGTCTCATGACCATCCCAGTCACTGAAGGCATCGTCTTCAGTGTCTCCTGGTTCTACTACGAAGCTGATGCCTGTTCCAGCCAAAAAGAGCTTAACAAAAGGCTCCCAATCATATGTGAACCATGATGCAGCCTCTGGAGCAACCACCCGAACTTCTTCCAACTTGGGTACATATTTCCGATAAGAAGTTGCCACCTCTCTCAGAGCCTCCAAGCACTGTTGGTCCTCGGTGTGACGCCGGACTGGCGTTCGAAGCGTCAACAGCGAGGATGGTAATCGTTCAACAAAGTTATCGGTATCATGGTTCAAGAGCATGCCTAGTGGACAGCTGAGATGTTTTAGCGAAGCAAAGCCTTCGAGATTATCACGGAGATGAACGCTGCGCTCTATTTCATCCTCGACGATTGGGTCGCAGCAAACTCGAAGACTCTCAAGTGATGCCTTCTGGCAGTGTAGAACTTCAGACAGCGTTTTGTATGGCTCTCCGTTTGGCAGTGGCCGTTCTGACAGGTGAAGTTCAGAATCTGCCTCGTATTTGATACTCTTCAAGCACCGCGATGAGGAGACCATTACTTCCAGCAACGACGAGTTGTAATAAGTGCTCTCTAGATCAAGCTCCTCCAAGTCGTTGCAGGCTTTTGGGATCAGACGCTGTAATTTGTGTACGCCTTCTGCATCGAGTTGGCGATATCCATACATGTAGGTTTGGCTTAATTGCAGCTTTCGCAACGACTGCAGCCGGAATAGAGGTGCAAGTTCGCTCAAACCTAACGAACCTGCCTCGACGCTGATCGATCCTAGGTGTTTGAAGCGGTGGGCTTGAGAAGAAAGGTGACCTGTCGCGGCCTTGCTTATGAGATCGATCCAGGAAGGATGTCGCAAGTCCTCCTTTGCAAGTCCTCGAACGCTGAGACGTTTAATCTCTGGTGTGAGCAACAATATCGCGTTCTGTAGAGCGTGCTTCTGTGGCGCGTAGTTATTGAGGTAGGCTCCGTTGCATCTAGTTGCCCACTCTTTCCAGTCGGATGTACCCAGCGCGCGCAATCCTTCCTTGATGATTTTCTTGTCACTCGCTGTCGCATGGTAGCGCTGGGAGGGATGGCTACTGTACATGCCGAATTCAATGTTCATAGCGTGGACAAACTTTGCGAGCTCCGGATTCGCTATCATGGTACGGAGGAAAGTGTAGGGCTCGCAGAAAAGGCTATCGTATTTGGAGTAGATCGTGCCAATTACGGCTTGGTAGAGACGCCGACTAGTCAATGCCAGACTGAGGAGCGTATGAAGCTGAAAGTCTTCAATATCCATGCTGGGCAAGTAGTCGAGTATCTGCCACATAAGCTCATTGGGGAGATCATTTATTGTCGCAAGCGACCCGGGTGTAGGTGATCCTGCGGCAGTGGCTTTGACTCCACGCTCAGCGGCGCGTCGACGCATAGCATTTTGTGATGGAAGTAGAGGGAAGTCGCGCTCGTTGAGGACCGACATTGTGCGGCACGTGTCGCATATGGATGAGCGATCAGGTAGATACTGCGGCTGTCTGGAGGGAGTTGTGAGAGCCGAACTGAAAAACACAAAAACGGGTGGGAGGAAGATTCCCTGGTCGGATGAAGGGAGTCGGCACGTGGTCCGCTGTTGTTCTTGTCTCGATAGGGCTGAGCGCTAGACGTGCTGAATCAGCCAGCTGCAGCGCGGTGGCCGCCCTTTGCCTCTTCATTAACAGCCGACACGTTTAAGGCATCGCTGAGGCACAACGCCACCCGTCACATCCGTTTTGCCTGCGCACTCTTCCCATTATGGAACACCTTTCAGAAGAACTACTCGATCATGTAGTGTCCGAAGTCATCAACCCTCTACCGAACAGACATAGGTCACACTATGATGATCTCCTCAATTTATCACTGGTCTCCCGAACATTTTGTCGAATCGCAGAGCCGTATATGTATCGCTCGTTGATCGTCTCTGGAGACAATGGGAACGGCTTGTTGCGAACATTAAAGAAACGTCCTGATCTGCTACGATACGTTCGGGCCGCCTACGTGATGCAGTATGATCACATTGGTAAACGGATACGCAATTTCATAATAAATATACCCAGCTTGCAAGAGTTGGACTTGAACATTTGGTCTGGCACGCTATCCGACATCGTACCAGTTTTGAAGTTGCAGACCTTGAAGACACTACGCCTCTCGGGTGTTGCCGCTGGCGAGATTCCCGACGAAAACTTTGACGACTGGGAATTCGAAAACAACACACTCAGTACCCTGGATATCTCCTTCACTGATCCTAAGTTCCAATGGGAGCTCTGTAACGAAATTCAGGTCTTTGCTGCAGTGTTTCTCAATTTGAGATGTTTGAAACTGCACAGCAATTATGAAGGCAGCATACGCGATGTATTGGATGGCACTGCTTTCCGCTACCTGATCCGCGCGTTCAAGCACAGTTTTGAGACAACGCTTCGCGAGCTCACTTTCGAATACAATCATCCGAACGATGGCTTCATAATCGAAGAAGATGAGGCCGTGGGCGGGTGTGCTGGTGTAAGGGACATAATCAAGGATTCGCAGCTGGAGAAGCTCAGATTCGACACAATCTGTTTGCACAAACCCATGCAAGAAGCGAAACTACGGAGTCTCGTCCTCGGCCCGTCATGTCTACCTACATCGCTACGCACACTATATCTGCGCCACATCGTTGCGACCGGAAACCTCAATCCCAGGGAAAGGAACCTCATGCACTCGGACGAAGCGCAGTGTTTATCGCAACTCGTCAACCTGGCGGCGCGAAGATCGCGCTTTCCGCATCTGCAGAACCTGACACTAGTAATCTGTCTACCACCATTTTTCGAGGACGTTGCCGCGAGGGTCGTCAAGGTTCAGGCACGGAAAGTCAAGGTTCAGTTGGATTTGATGTTCATGTAAGGTTGTGTGTTGGCTATCGCGGCGGGCATCACTAACGGATATTAGGTCGGAGTGGGACTACGTCAGCGGTGATCTGGCAAGAGCTTGGCCTGAGTATGATCGTGCTCGAGACCCGCGAGACCCATCATATGACCATACGCTCATCCGGTACGCGTAGGCCTGTTGCCCAGCCCGCGGTTACTAGCAGCAATCTGCTTGACGGCTTCATGCGCTGGCGCGGAGATCTGTAGATCTACAACCGATCAACGCGGCATCAAATCTTTTGTCTACTAAGCCAACGCAAGGCTTCACAACTGTCATCCGCAGCTGGACTCCTAAAGTAAGCCTGAACGATGTCTAAGGTGCAGTGCCCCAAGATCGCCACCGGTTTTGCTTGAGGGAGATCGACATATCCGAGCGCACTCGTCCGATTGGCTGCATGTACGAGGTTACGAATCCCTTCAGCCACCTTCCGCGCCAACATCGCAAAACCGCAGCAAGGCCTCGCAAGATGTGCTGTAATTGTCGGTGAACACAGTTTGCGGATACGCGTACAGCAAAATGAATCTAATCGGGCCATTGATGTATAAAACCACCATGGACGCAATGTCATGCTTGCCACACATACAAACAACCATCACAATCAGCGCACTCAAACACTCTACACTTCCAACACAAGAGCATTCCCATTATTCAACAATCACTATCACGACTTACCAACATGTTGTCCCGAGCACTCACTCCCTACCCTAAAAAGCGCACCCAAAACACTCAACCAGAAACTTCTGCATATACGGAATCACAAGCTCTAGTTACAAGACCAGAGGTTCCAGCTGCAACACCAGAAGCTCCCGCTACAAAATCTAGAAAATCCTCCAAGCCCAAAAAACCCGCCCAACCCGCCCAACAACGTCCTGTCGGCGGACCTCTCAGAACAGGCCTCGAAAAGCTTACGCGCAGCGTAGAACGAGGGGTCGACCGACAAATCTTGAGCGCGCAGGTGCGGGCTTACGGCATGCCTCCATCTACTTCATCCTCGAAACAAACGACGAATATCGGTTCTATTCAGGAGAAACATGTCGCATTCGCTGTTTGATGCGCTTCCACCACTTCCCATTTCTTGTTCCGCTTCCCCCGGACACTTCATCGAACGAACGAGATTTAGGAGAGTAGATATACCATGAGATCTTTTTGGGTGCAGAGAGGGCGACGATTTTTGCATGAGCTTTGGTTTTGCTTGTTTGGCGCAGGCCGGAACGGATGCATAGGGTTATGTTTGAACGGCGTTGGTGCATACTACATGTTTTGGTTCATGGAACTGTTATCAGCAAAGGCGTTTTAGCATTATATCAGCATACTCTTTGAATCAATCTCATCGAGACTTATCCGTTACACATCGCATATACCTTGTTCCTACATTCGTGTGCCCATTTCGAATAGATGATATCGTGGATGATGAGCGCTTCCAACGTAGGAAGATTCGGAGAGGCAGGAGAGGCAGGACGCCCGCCGTTCGACTGCCCGCGCTGCACTTCCCAACCCCACCAACCACAACGTTGGAACGTCGCAACCACCCGCCAACCATTGTACCATGGCACCAAACTTTCTAATTAGTATCGCAAACACCGAAGTAACTCATGACTTGGCAGTAGCTTTTCCCGCCGTCTTGCAGTTGGTTTCCCCTCCCAGCCTTCTTGCGCCTTTGCCAGCCCCTGATAGATGTCTTCCAGTACACCGTAATGCAGCAAATACAATTGTCGACCGCGCACTATACACTGCATCTCTGCATGTTCGCCGAGATTCTTCGACCAACAGAACACGGAAAATGATGGTTTGCATGGTCTGGACCTGCAGAACCCCACTCCGTGCAACGCTATCCAACTCCATCCCATCCTGCCCTCTCAACAACACGATGGATTCCTCTTCACCCAACCCCGCATTCATTGTGATTATATTGATAATTTTTGATCTGATTTCCATCAAGCGAAACAATATTCGCTTAGATCACCAGCATCGGTGGTTTAGTGGTAAAATTAGCCGTTGCCATCCATCACAGGACAGTTTCGGCTAGCCCCGGGTTCGATTCCCGGCCGATGCATTGCACCATATTTTCTTTTTGAAGTTGTTAGAGCTCTGAGGACGATGGTAGTTGAGTCTGGGGATGTTTGGGACATTCTGGACATCAGGATTTGTACACACGTCCAGCCAGCTTTACACACATTGCGGGACGTAGACGAACGTCTAGAGTTACACTGAGCTATCCAGCGTTATTTTTACTTAGGTCTGGAGAGCCCTAGCGATGGCGGTGGTTGAGTCTGAGGGGATGGGCGACATGGCGGATTTCGAGGTCTATGCACACGTCATGTTTTTGGACAGTCAACGTCTGCGAATGGCACATTTACGATCTGAACCACTCTTGAACGAAGTCTGTAAAACACATCATCTGGGACAGTAGGACGATGACATGAAGATCGTGGTATGTTTACAATGTCCTCAGTCGACATCTCTCTTCGGGAAAAACCGTCCCTATGGATGAGCCTCAGTTTACTAACAAGGAAGCTGGAACAGGAGTCTCAGTTCATGAGGAACTGTTCTCTCCTCCAAACACCACACCACACATCACTCACTCCTCACTCGTACTACTCCCATCATCCGCAACCATACTCTTCGCCTCCTCCCTACTTTTGAAATCGCCAAACATCAAATAAACGCTCGGTACCCCATACCCCTCCAACTCCTTCCTGACCCCCTCCCTCGCGGCACTCTTAACATACCGCCTCGCCTCCTGCCACAGCCTCTCACTCCCTGCCAACGGCTCCTCCGCATATCCAATCCACTCCCCCATCCAAGCCTCCCTATCCCTCTCCATCTGCCAAAACGCCAATCCAGCCCTCACATATATCCAGCCTACATCGCTGCCCTCGAGGAACTCTGTGAGGAAGTGTTCGAAATCAGGGTTCAGAGATTCCTGCAAGATTTTTATGCTGCGGAAACCCCAAAAGGCGGCTTCGGCGTATTGGCCGAGGGCGTTGTATGCGGCGATGGTGCGGGAGACGAGTTTGAGGCGCAGGACTACGCGGATGGTTATGCCGGTTTGCCCTGCGTAACGACCACTGGTTATGGCTTCGTGGAAGAAGTCGTCAGCGAGGACGCGGCGGGTGCGGCCTGAGATGAGGATGTGGATGGAGTGGAAAGCTTTGTTGTAGAGGTCGAGGGCTTGTTGGGCGGCGGCGTGTTTTTCGTCGGTAGCGAGGGTGTTGGTGGGAGAGGGGGTGGCGGAAGCGAGGAGGACGTCGCCAGCTAGCATGTGGTCTGTAGCGTTTTCGACGGATTCGCGCAGTGTGGGGATGGGGATGGCTTGGAGGCGGGCAAGTTCGTCGCGGACGACGGGCGAGTAGCCGTGGATGTGGGTGCTGTTGAGGCCTTTTACGTGCTCGAATGGGAGGAGGAGTTTGCGTTGGAGAGGGAGGGGGATGTTGGGTTTTTGCTGTCCTTCCTCTATGTCTACCTCTTCGCCAGTCTCGGCATACGGGTCCTTCAGGACAAATGTAGTGGACAACCGATCATTAAGCATAGGATAAGACAACGCACTGTAATACCAAGTCTGCAGAAGTAGAGGCACGAAGTCAGTTATGTCTCACATGCACTTCGCACAGCCAAAACTTACCTTGGTAAATAAATGCAAGTCATCCACCAGCATAACAACCATGTGTTCTGGAACCTCGCCATGGAACGGCGCGGTAATCTGCACAACAGCATGGAAATTGTTAAACGCGTCGGCGCGCGCATCCGTGCAGACAATTGGCACAAGACCCTCGGAGGAAATGTGGTTCACTAGAACTACAACGTTGGTATATCAGCCACGCACACTAGACGGCGAAGAAAGACAAGGGAAAAGCTCACGGCGTCCGCGGCGACCGGTAAGTTCCAATTGCTCTCGCACACCGTCTGTAGCCATTAGATAAACGCGATACATACCCGCGCTCGGCCATGGAGTAGCTATCTTGACGAAGACGTTCTCTCTTCTCCATACTTTCTTTGCTTCGGCGTAGATTTGTTTGTTTGCGAGCCAGAGGTTGAAGTCCCATTGGTAGACGCCGCCGTAGAATCCTTTGGCTTCTAGTTCTTCGCTGCGGACAAGGTGGTCGGAGGGAGTGAAGTAGATGGAGTAAATTTGTTCGCGGAGCTCTAGGGGGAGGCGCAGGAAAGGGAATGGGGTTGGTGTGGCGCTGGTGGTAGTGTTCTCAGGCATCGTGGGCGGTGAAGGGGGGCCTTGGGGTGGTTTGGGTTTGGATGCGAAGGGGTTGGTTACGAGAGAGGAGAATTGGAACATGGTAGCGAGGGCACGCGGTCATAGAGCTTAGGTAGATCTAGAGAAATGTTGTACGGGCGGCTGGGAGATGCATGACGGAGGACGAATCTGCCCCACCTTTAGCTCCGGTGTTAACGCCGTGAACCGAGGCATGCACGAAAGTTGTAGTTCGATCGCGATGTATCGCTGTGCGTTCTTCTACTTATCGCGCCTGGGTCTGGGAGGTCTTTCCGCAAATGGTCTGTGAACGTACTTTGATTTTCATATCTATTGAGTGTAGTTTGCCAGGTCCGTCTAATGTGACCGTCGAAACACTCAGCCATAACAATGTATATAGTACATGTAATAGATATCCAGGACATCCATCCCCAGATGAAAAACTCCTGTCATACCCGCATCAGAGTGGAACAGTATCTTTTCGTGGTATCTTTCAAATCCTTAAACATACATTCCGCAGCCCATCTACCGTGTCTGGGTCGGCGGCACTCCCTCTTGGTGGCTAGCTGCCGCTTCAGGTGCACTCGCTGCTGAAGGGACTGTCGCGGTCTGAGGCGCTGAGTTACCTGCACCCAACCAACTGAAAGCGCCTGCCTTCATATCGTTGAGCTGAGCTTCCTGCATCTTCTTCTCCTCCTCGGCCATCTCCTTGAGCCATTGCTCTCCGTTCTCGCGGATTTGCTTGTCCAGGTGGATGTAGTTTTGCTTGTTGAAGTCGCGGTACATGTCGATCATCATCTTGCCCTCTGACATGCCCTGGCTGATGTTTTGGTCACCGAGTACCATGCCTTGTTTTGGCCCATCAAGACCCAGACTCTTCATGAACATGCCACCCGCACTTCCCTTGGTCTTCTTCTGCTGCTGCTCGAGGTCGCGCTGGAATTGTTCGCGGAGTTTGGCCTCGCGGCGGGCGTACTCAACGGGGATATCCTTGCCCTCCATAGACTTGAGAACGGTGCGGACGTCGATTGGTGTACCGGTTTGAGACATCATGGCAAGGTATTCGAGGAAGGGGATCATGGCTACGAGGCCCTTGTCGCCGGGTTCGCCCTTCCACTTGGGCAGGATGATGGCGTTTTCGGGTTGAAGCTTGACGTGCGAGGGGTCGGTATCGATCATGATGACTTTGGAGAGGTCGCGGTTGAGGTAGGAGAGGTCCTAGGATGGATTAGCAGAAATTCTACAGATCACACAATAAACATACCTTGATGTACTCGCCCTTCTCGAAGCGGGTAGCCTCGCGGAACAATGGCCACATGACGAGACGGAAGGGGTCGAGTTTGCGGATGATGGGGTCGGCGTCCATGGACTTGACAGAAGTGAAGATGACGAGTTCGTATTGCGAGCTGAGGTATCGTAGGAAGTAGTCAAGACCAGGTCGCTTTGCTAATCGGTAGCCGTGCTTTGTGGTCCATTCTGAGTGTAGCAGGAGGTCCTCCAAACTGAGTACCAGAGTAAGTTCTGGTGCGCCTCCGGGGATCTTGTCCTTGTCTGGTAGCAACTTCTGGAAGGTAGGCTCTGTGTAGTATGCCTTTTGTCCGTTGATACGGGCAGCCGCACGGGCGTACATGCCGCCCAACGTCCAGCCATTCGGAGCATCGATGTGTGCCGCTTCCTCTTCTTCGTTCTCCCAGTTTCGGCCCATGAAGAGCGCGCCCGTTGTACCGAAAAGAAGCATACCGAGGTAGGACCAGTTGGCGACACGATTCCGCCGCCTGTCGGTGCTCGTCTCGTATGCGGACTTGGGCAGTTCGCCGCCACTACCGCCCTCTCGGCCTCCCGCAGCGCCTGGTATCGGGTCTTCGTAGAGCTCGTTCGGGTCGTTGGGGTCTCGCTTCGCTTTTCCGTCGGCTTCAGCATGCTCCTCAGCGAACGTCGAGGGGATTCCGTAGCGGAGGTCCGGTAGTGGCTTTTGCGGTTGTTGCGACTCTGGGCTCTCGGTGGTGGGGTCGGTGTTCTCACTGGGTGACTTGGGCCCCGACATCTCCTCCTGTTCCGACATTTTAAAGTCCTTTCCAGCATCTTTCGAGGCTTGTGTTGCGCTCTCCACTGGTCTTGAGGGCTGTGTTGGTGTTGTGTTCTTCTCGGGCGCTGATTCTGTGTCGAATTCGGGCTGCTCTGAAGGATTAACAGGGTTGGGCCGCGCCTTGTTGGCCTCGTCGAATTTGATGGGATCTGAGGGTTTCCACGTGTTGTCTTTTGGCTTGCCGACCTTGGCATATGTGCGCGTCCATTGCGAGGTGGAAGCTATGGGTGTGATGCGCGGCGCTGCCAGTGCAGACCGCATGCGCAGGGCGCGGAAGGCGGTTCTGGGGAGCATGGCGTTAGAAGGGGGGATAAAATACAAATTAAGAAGAAAAGGCGCCTCTAGGAAACATGGGCCGGGCACATGGGGGTTGTGGTGTCGGCGGTGTTGCGATGAAATAATTGATGGAGCAGGGCTTGGCACAATGACGCTGCTCCCTCGCCAGAAATTCGCCCGTGTCATATGGCAATCGTGGCTTCACCAGTCCAGAAGGAACGCCGAACATGTGGCCCCGCTTAAACACCAACTCCCTCGTCGCCTTCCGCCGCTGACAGACTCGAGTTCCATGTCGCCTCCCAGGGACCTCTTTGCCCATGCGACTGACTGGAAGGCCTCTGCGGCGACATGCGCCAATGCCCGGAGGAGCACCCTTTCAGCTACTATGCATCCTCCTGCTCTTCATAGGCTGCTGGACGACGCCCGGTCATGGCATGACCGATGAAGCCATCGCAGAACTGAGGTAATGATATCTAGCAATTATGTTACATATATATCTAATCCCCGCAGACAAGAGACACGCGACATCTTCTACCATGGTTACGACAACTACATGGAACATGCCTTCCCAGAAGACGAACTCCGACCGCTCACTTGCGCACCCCTTACTCGCGATCGCCACAACCCCGCCCATATCGAAGTCAACGACGTTCTCGGAAACTACTCTTTGACATTGATAGACAGCTTGTCGACGCTCGCTATCCTCGCTTCCACACCCGAGGACGACGCGACTGGGTCCAACAAACCATTAGACGACTTCCAAGAGGGTGTTAAGTTGTTGGTAGAAAACTATGGAGATGGTTCGTCAGGACCTCGCGGTCGTGGGGCAAGAGCGAGAGGCTTCAACCTGGACAGCAAAGTGCAGGTCTTTGAAACTGTCATCCGCGGCGTTGGTGGGCTGCTCAGTGCACATCAATTTGCAGTCGGCGATTTGCCCATCCGAGGTTACCATGCCAGGACAGAGAGAAAGGGAGGTCGTGAAGGGATATTCTGGCTAAATGGATTCGTTTACGACGGACAACTTCTACGGCTTGCTGTAGACCTCACCAATCGACTGCTGCCGGCCTTCAACACGCCAACTGGCCTGCCATACCCTCGAGTCAACCTTCGATACGGAGTACCCTTCTATGCGAAATCACCAAACAATATGGATGCCGAGCATGGCCAATGCGGCAGGAACCCAAGCGATAAAGGGACCGAAGTTACTGAGACGTGCAGCGCTGGCGCCGGGAGTCTAGTTCTCGAGTTCTCTGTTCTGAGTCGACTGACTGGCGATCCAAAATACGAAAGGCTGGCCAAGGACGCCTTCTGGGCTGTATGGCACCGCAGAAGTAGCATTGGGCTTATTGGTGCCGGTATCGACGCTGAGACAGGACAATGGGTGAATTCTTACACGGGAATTGGAGCGGGTATTGACAGCTTCTTTGAGTATGCCCTCAAGTCGCATATTCTTCTTTCCGGACTTCCTTTCGACAAAGCGCACGAGGCTACTGATTCTCCAGAAGCCTTCCTTGCCACTTGGCTAGACGCCCACGATGGCATTCGGAGACAGATCTACCGTGGTGCGCAACATCAGCATCCTCATTACGCCCAAGTCGATCTGTACACTGGCGCCATCAGGGCCTTTTGGGTCGACAGCCTGAGCGCATTTTACCAAGGGCTCCTAACAATGGCTGGTAAGCTTGATGAGGCTATCGAGACGCATTTGCTCTACACTGCTCTTTGGACTCGCTATTCCGCAATGCCTGAGAGGTGGTCGACTGCGACTGGCAGCATCGAGCATGGCCTCCGTTGGTGGGGCGGTCGACCAGAGTGGATTGAGTCGACTTGGTACCTCTATCAGGCTACAAAAGACCCTTGGTATCTCCACGTAGGAGAAATGGCGTTGCGCGATATCAAAAGACGTTGCTGGACTAAGTGCGGGTGGGCGGGTTTGCAGGATGTACGTACCGGGGAACTGAACGATCGTATGGAGAGCTTCTTCCTTGGTGAAACTGCGAAATACCTCTTTCTGCTCTTCGACCCGTCGCACCCGCTCAACACTTGGGATGCGCCTTTCGTGTTCACGACTGAAGGGCATCCACTGATTATACCGAAGCGACTGCGTCTCACCCAAAAGATACGGCCAGATCCTGCTCTAGTCGTAGAGGTACCTCAAACATGCCCTCTTCCGCCAGCTCATCTACCATTCAGTATCTCTGCGACAGCCGCTCGGTCCGACGTTTGGCACGCTGCAAGCCTTGCCAGACTACATCTGATGCCGACCATCGAGACGCTTGAGTCACCACTTGTCGAGTTCAGCGCCGACCATCCCAGCATTTCTTTATCAGACATACGTTCACCTTCAAACTATACCTACTACCCATGGACGTTGCCACCCGAGCTCGTTCCGCACAACGCCACCAGTTCAGTATTGGCCGTGAGGACTACCTTCGACCTCTCCTTCCCCAACATGCCAAGCACATCGCTGGTAGGTGCGCTCCAAAGAGTACAAGAAGGTATCTTGGTCAACTCCATGAGCGGACTGAGACTAGGCATGGTCCGTGAGCAAGACAAGCCACGTGCGGTACAACAGCAGCTGGAGCTAGATGAGCAATTCCGCATTTATGCCATCTCCAACATAGCTCTGGGCCGCGATGAAAAGGTCTTCATGTCTCGTTCGACCATCGACAACTTCAATCCGCTTGACCCGTTCTTCACAAGAACACGAGATTCGCATGCGCTAGACTTGGTCATCGACGTGTCACCACAGCCAGCATCCGCAGCCTCCAAGACGCTGTCAGACCTCCTCAGCGATGCGCTTGGCGAAACGAGCAACCTTTCCGACATGGACATCGCCGACGTGATCGATCTAGAGGTCGACCCCGAAGCACTCGACAGCCAGCCCTCATACCTCGCCACCTTTCTCTCGTCGCTCCAAGCCTTGCTCTCTGCCCCACTACCCACATCCACATCCGCAGCATCTCAACCCCAAGATCATTCTCAGCAAACCTTGAAACGGCACTTCTTCCCCGCGGCGCTTCCCACCGGCCCCGGCGCAGCACCCATGCCCGACACCAAAGACCCGGAAATAACATACAGTCCGGACAACCCGCTTACCTGGTCAAACATCTACGTCCACCCCACTACTCTCTGCACAGACCGTCTTCCGCTCGAAGTCGCAAAGAATCATCAAGTCATCGCAATCCCTAGAGGGGATTGCTCTTTTACGACTAAACTGCACAACATCCCCGCTTACCCACCCGACGCTACTTCGCTCCAACTTGTCATCATCGTCAGTTTTCCCGAACACGAACCTGAGGAGAGGAAGTATGCTGCCAATGCCGATGCCGATGCCGATGCTGCGATGCAACAACCCCCTGTGCAGCCGCTGCTGGATGATATACAGTATACGCCTACGGGCATGCTACGCCCCAACCCCATTCCCATGATCATGGTGGGAGGAGGCAAGGAGACAATGGCGCTGTTGAAACGGGCGAAGGGAGTAGGCGTGAGGAGACGGTGGTATTTTAAGAGCCAGGGGGTTAGGATTGGGAATTTGATCGTGCTTTGATAGGGCAGTAGAGCGCGTAGTAGAGGGGTGGTAGTTGAGAAGCCAGGACCTTTGTAAACATAGCGATACAGTAGAGACCGAATGTGTACATGTTGCGTTGTCCTGTCGCATGTCTTTTCTGTTGGTACTTGACATGCTTGTAATTCTGCATAGTCTAGCGCTTACGGAACGAGCTTAACCGAGATGTAGACACACTCGCAACCTGGTTCTAGTCAGCATAGCTCCAGACTTCCTTTCAGCTCATTCAATATTGATATACAGGTTCGGCCCTATCTACGACAGTTTTCAATGTAGTGCAACACAGCAAACATTGAGGTCCACCACCTATTCATTCCGCACCGGCGATTCAACCTTCCTCTGTTAACCCTAGCTCGGAACCAAGCACAGATCACCTCAGCCAGGCAATTACTTGACAATGTCATGAGAAGTTAGTAGTGACGATGATTTTGATCAAGGTTCCCTTCGTCAGTGCCACGCAAGCGTGTCGTCGCATTAGCACAGTCCATGGATTGTATCACGATGCGATGCTCTTCGTGAAAACGAGGTCTTCACCATACAGCAGCAACAAAATTGGGGATCTACAAACCTCTCGATCATACCCAAACCCAGATCCGTGTTCTCAAGATCAAGCCTGGACGATGGAACGATGCCATTTCGTGCAGCATAAAAGTAGTTTCCCTCGACCGATTTTTCAGACCTCGGTACAACACCCTATCTTACACATGGGGCGGACCAGGGGACAAAAGATACATAAGCGTCAATCATCAAACCATCGATGTATCAGCAAACCTCTTCACAGCTCTGCGGGCGCTTCGCCGACGATTCTTCACAGTCACTATCTGGGCTGATGCGCTCTGCATCAATCAGCGAGTTAACGATGAAAAGAACAAACAGGTAGCGTTAATGGGAAGAATTTATCAACAGGGAAGGCAGACATGGGTATCACTTGGATGTCCAGACGAGAGATGGGCTGACGGTAGCTGGTCGCCACCATTCCGCCTTCCAGAAAGCGCACCGCTATGCAATCGCCTCATTCAAGGCGCCTGGAGATTATGGTGGCATCATCTTGTACTCCGGCGATCGCTTCGATCTAGAAGAGGCGTAAGCCATATCGCCGACGCAGTCCGCGTTATGAGGCCAACACGCTTACCCAACGGTACCGATGATCTGGATCGCCTGCACCAGCATCAAAAGATAGCCACAGCTATCCTCACATGGCTAGCTACCCACGAGTACTGGTCAAGAGTGTGGATCGTACAGGAAATCGCACTCTCGCAAATCGATCCAATCTGTCTCTTCGGTCGCCACCAAATTCCTCTGCTCTCGCTAGATAGCGTCCTTGGAGACTGCACGGCGCCAGACCCAGAGACAGTACCTTGTCCGGCTGTGATTGAGGAAGCATCATATCGCGCCCAGGAGATATGCATGCTAAGAGACGAGTTCCTGAAGACGCGCATAGTGCGCGTGTAGCAGGCAGCATGGAACTCTTACGAGCGTTACAATTTGCTAGTTACAGGAACGCCAGCGACCCACGCGATCACATCTATGGGCTTCGCAGTCTAATTCCGGCAGATGATCAGGAACGCATAGAACCGGACTACAATTTGTCTACATAGGAACTATACGCAGACGTTACTAGATTACTAATAGAAAGGAAGTGGTCCGTCAGCCTACTCTGCTGTGCAGTAGGAACAAGCCACCAGCAAAACGAACACAACCTACCTTCCTGGAGCCTCGACTTCCGCAAGCCGATGCCATGGCTCCCGTTTTCAAGCGACATTCTCGGTGTGCGAGAACATGAAAACATGGACAACAAGGGTCCGGACAGATTCCACATACTTCGTCTCCAGGGCGAAAGCCAAGAAGAAACCATCACTGGATTTGTCGCACCGAAAGGCTATGATGTGCTTGAACACATGTCTGACCCAGAGACGTTGCGTGATGTTTCCGAATTCTTGCAAAGCAAAATCTTTGGACCGGACGAAAGATGGAGACGTTATACAGACGCTCGTATGGAAACCCAAGAGCAATACGCGGTTTTCAGCACGGATCGAGGAAGGATTGGCAAATGTGTTAATGATGTGAGGCAGGGATGAGATATGGAGTTTCGAGGGATCAGTAATCGCGTTTGTACTTAGACCTTTGGCTGGGTCTGGAGTTCAGGAAGATGCTGCAAGGGGTAGGTATAGATTGGTCGGTGCATGTAAGTTTTTGGGTGATGTTGAGAATACGTGGAGTTCACCGGAGCAGGCGAAGAGGATGATTGAGATTGCATAAGAGATGGCATCGTTCATAAAGCACACAACTGAAGTTACGTGCGAAGAGACTCATCAGGCTCGAGCTCAAGAGGTGGAAGGGCGGGCGACTCATGCAGTTTCGCCGATCACTGAAGACACGCGCTCATGTAACGTGGGATGCGCATGCGCATTCAAGGCAGGGAGCGTTGATAGAGTCCTGAGATAAGAACGGCGCAACTCTGTGAGCTACACCTCTGGCGCAGAAGTAGGGCCTGTCTTGATTTCCTCCTCATTCGTCGCATCTATGATATTGAATCGGGAGAGTGTCGTTCTTATCGTGGAGATAAGGGGCCCTACGCTAAAATAGCTCCCTTGGCATGCTTCATCTCGTGCTTACTCCCTCCAACCACAACTCCTCAGCTGCATTTCGCCATCTCCTAAGGACTCCCGCAATGCCCTGCGTTTTCGTCGCAGCCACATGCGCCGTTATGTTGCACCCTCGATCGCCTCTGGGCAGCGATCGTAATTCCACGGAGCGGGCCTCGAAAGCCACATCATGGACCCGCTACAGCGAAACAGGCAGGCGACCAATGCGCCCAGCCTGACTATCTTTTCCACTACAGCTGCGGCTACACCGAAGGGTCTAATTAGTTCTTCCGTCATGCGCCTATCCGGAGTCAGAGGGCCTCTCTGCGAGACAAGTCTCTTGCCGGTACATTCTCGTGTTCGTTGGCAGTCTGCAATAGTCGCTTTTTACGGGTTCCTGCAGGCAAAACAAATGTAGCGACGCGTATTCCCTTCCTACCCACGGGCAAGGCGACGGCACGCTACTTCAGGGGCTCCGCCGCCGTTGGCGTCCGATACCGCATAGGTACTTTTGCCTTCTCCATGTGAACGCATGAAACATTCGTGATCTCCCGGGCCATGGCTCTATCCGGAAGGTCAGGATCGTCGCCTCGGGCACATAATGCACGATATAATGCCCAGACCAATATAACAGGGCCTCCGAAGCTTGCCTGCCTATTTCACAGTGTCGCCAAGCCTCCGCTCTGCTGTCTCCTACCATCGCGCCGGTCGACTACGCGTGCAGCCAGTCCGAGAAAGGAAGCCGGTGATCGTTCCCTTGTCGCGTGGACGCCCTACTAATCGTACGCGCCTGGTGTTGCATCAACCATTCGCTCCGTATACTCGAAAGGGTCAGGACCGAGTGTGGAGAGTCGTTCGGGGGTCAACTGTGGCGAGGTAGCTGATCATGTATAAGAGGAGTGGTATACTGTTTCAAAGCATTTCTTTTGAGCACATCACCTGTCCCTAGTCTCTCATTTCTACTTCACTCGTTCCCACGATGCGTTCCGTTCTTCTCGCGTCGCTGGCTTCGCTGTCCGCCATCAGTGTCTATGGCCACCCCCATGCTTCATGGCAAGGCCGCAGCACACTTACTCGCCGCGCTGTCGACTTGGACTCGTACCGCATGAAGCATGCTGCTGCCTACAAGAACGTGGCCGAAGTTGTGGCTGATCCAAACATCAACACACTTGCGAAGCGTGCTAGTGCGGAGGACGTTGCTACCGACCTTGTCAAGGCTACGATCCCGGATGCTACCTTCCGTCTTGTTAAGGACTCATATGTTGGCGACAACGGAGTAGCTCACTTCTACTTTAAGCAAACCGCCAACGGTCTTGACATCGATACCGCGGACTTCAATGTCAACGTAAGTCCACGACCTCCAAAAACTGTATACTCTCCATCTTGGATATCGTGCTAATACCCAACAGGTCGGTCGTGATGGCAATGTTTTCTCTTTCGGAAACTCGTTCTACAAGGGTGCTATCCCAGCGCCGCCAAGTCTGAGCAAACGTGACAGCGCCGCACCTGCCAATGCCCTGAAGTCAGCCATCAACATTCTTGGACTTCCAGTTTCTGCTGAGGAGGCCATCGCTGAGGCGAAGGAGGCTACCGAGACCTACGCTATCAAGAAGACTACCGGATGCGTCAGCGAGCCAGAAGCACGCCTTGTCTACCTCGTAGATGAAGAGGGCAAGCTCGCTCTTACCTGGAGAATTGAGACCGATGTCATGAGCAACTGGCTTCTTTCTTACGTCGATGCGGAAGATGGCGAGAAGGTGCACGCTGTTGTTGACTACTCTGCCGATGCTGAGTACAAGGTTTAGTAAGTAGCCACGACTACTAGATATGTTCATCACTAACCACGCTCAGCCCCTGGGGCATCAACGACCCATTTGAGGGTGACCGCAAGCTTGTGGAGGATGACTTCTCCCCAGCAGCCAGTGAGTTTGGATACCACAACGATGGCAAGCAGACATTCAAGACGACCCGTGGTAACAACGGTATTGCCCACACCAACTGGGAGAACGTCAGCAGCGGGTTCCTCAACCTGCCCCGTCCTCAGAGCGAGGATCTGGTCTTCGACTACCCATTCTCGCTGAACGACAGCGACTGGAAGGGATACGCCAACGCCTCCATTACCCAGCTCTTCTACACCGCCAACAAGTACCACGACGTTCTGCACACCCTAGGTTTCAACGAAAAGGCAGGAAACTTCGAGATCAACAACAACGGTGCAGGTGGTGCCGGTCAAGATTTCGTCTACCTCAACGCTCAAGATGGTTCCGGCAAGAACAACGCCAACTTTGCCACACCTCCTGACGGCCAACCAGCACGCATGCGCATGTACATCTGGAACACGACAACCCCCTACCGCGACAGCAGCTTCGACGCCGGAGTCGTCATCCACGAATACACCCACGGCCTCTCCAACCGTCTCACCGGTGGACCCTTGAACGCCGGCTGCCTTTCTCTGCTCGAATCCGGCGGCATGGGCGAAGGCTGGAGCGACTTCTACGCCACTGCCATCCGTCTCAAGGCTGGCGACACCCGCAAGACCAACTACCCCATGGGCGACTGGATTAGCGGACGTCCCCTCGGAATCAGAAACTACCTCTACTCTACCGACCTTAATCAAAACCCACAGGTCTACTCCGACGCCGATCTCTACGAGAAAGTCCACCCCATCGGCAACATCTGGGCATCCATGCTCTACGAAATCCTCTGGAACCTCATCGACAAGTACGGCAAGAACGATGATTGGCTCCCCAAGCTCGACAGCAAGGGCATCCCATCTGATGGCAAGTACCTCGCTATGAAGATCGTCATGGACGGTATGGCGCTGCAGCCTTGCAACCCCACCTTCGTCTCTGCCCGCGATGCGATTGTCGATGCGGACAAGGCGCTCACCGGTGGTGAGAACGTCTGTGAGATTTGGAGTGGATTCGCGAAGCGAGGACTCGGTGAAGGTGCGGTTTACGCTCCTACCGGCCGCACGAACAGTTTTGATATCCCTGAGGGCGTTTGCGGTGGTGGTAACTCGACGAAGGCGACGAAGATGAAGATGCACAAGAGGAGGGTTCAGCCTGTTGAGCTGAAGTACTAGATGTTGTGGACGTCAAGAGGTGTCCAGACGAGCATGATGTGGAGTTTTGCATGTGAAGATGTTGTTGACGAGTGTATGATGATACCTGCATTGGGCGGCGTTCCAGAGAGGCATATACTGCTTCCTTTTTCCTTTAATGCATAATCATATTCTTTTATCAAAGTTGCTTCCTCTCTTGACCTGATGCCCCAATTTTCCACTACTCCTTCGCCGTTTGTACTACATTCGCTATGCATAGTAGCAGGGCGACTTATACTCAGTCCAAGCGACCGGTACTTTGGTGCATATCCCACAGCTCAACCCAGCAACCCATCACAATCCTTATGCTCACACCCGTATAAATTCCCAGTATGCTCCTCTCTCAGACCCAAACGCCATCCTGCATCCTTCCACCTCCTCGGTAACCGAAACCCCCGGACCCAGCTATTTCAGGTACGCTACTCTCTACCCACATACCCATCTGTACAGCAACGCAGCGTAACCACGTGGCTACTCACTATACCAGCACATCGACAGGGTGGGGGGCTGGGGGTGCGGGAATAACACTCCCATGGACTTGGATGCGCGTCTAGCAAGACTCTAATCGCAGAAAGCACAGGGGTGAGAACGGCGATTTATGGACGTGGGTGCTAGATATGCACGAATTCCGAGAATTTTTTGGGCTTGCCATGGTAGGTGTGTTTAGCGCGACCAGAGCGCTCCGTGGCCAATGTAGTAAGTGTGCTCGTGACTTGATAGTTGGATACTACACAGGTATATCAGCTGAGTGGGTATGGTGGGGCTTGGACCTGTGCAATGTGGATGGGCATGTGTGATGAGGTAACATGTAGAGCTTGATTTATATTGTAAATTCGCTGTAAGAATGCAGACAATGCAATGAGGTAGAGCAGCGATGAAGCCGTGACCGAACGAGTATGATCCCATACCTCCCATCTAAGCGACGTGCGTGTGAACTTATTTGACAGCTTTGGAGGTTGCATCATGTTCACTGGCATCGTCATCCAGATCGTCGTCCCATTCATCTCTCCTCACACCACTTTGTTCAGCCACTGAAGTGGCAGCGCCAGGCGGTGGTGCATCTTCGTCGCTCTCGTCCTCGAACGCGGCTGGGTCAGCCAGTGGCTGACTTTCTGGGTCTGCGCTCCTTCCCTCTGGGCTGGTTCTCTTTGGCGCACCTTCTACGCCCTCATCCGCAGAGACGGAGATACCCCTCCGACCCCACTTGTTCTTTGGTTGTGTGGTATCGTTGCGCTGTCCAGCGGTCTCCTCGTCATAGTCGAAGTCCATGCTCTTCCTGCCCACGAATCGACCCACGATCCATCCGCGACCAAGGTCATCCGAGTCTACAACGCCGCCGTGCCGTAGCTTCACGCGCTGACGCGTCCAGTATACCCAGGCGAAGTCGATCATGAGTGCCGTCTGTATGGAGCCCCAGACCCACGATGTAGGATCGAGGTAGTCGTCTTCCTTGACGCCGCGCATGATCCAGTTGAGAACATATAGGGCGCGGTATGTACCCAGTGTAACTAGGTAGTAAGAGTCGATGACGGTGGGTACGGTGGTTTGGCGGAGGAGGAGCAGCTGCGGGATGACGCAGACGGATTCGAGGATTTCAGAAAAGACCCAGAGAAGCTATTGAATATTAATATCCAGTCTAGTTTATGGAGGTGTATGTTAATCTTACCTTCATAAAGGTGCTATGTCCGAGCACATGATCTCTGACCATAAGGTACCAGAATGGGGTGATGAGGATGCTGCCTAATAGACAGTACATGCCAAACTTCCATGCCTTCTCTCGCTCCCGTGTGCGCGCGTATACACTTGTCATCAGGAAGATGATGTACAGCGATGACAGCGTGTAGAATATCTGACCGATTAGCCGCGTGCGCGTAGACGTATGCCCGATCTCCGTACCTTCAACGAGAAGTTCCACGTATGCCAACCATCCTTGGTGATGGAAGAACTGAAGATATCGACATATCGTGTGCCGAAGACGAGCGCGTAGAGGACCTGGGTGATGAGGGAGACACCTGCATACGTCAGCCCATGTTGCAAGCTTCAAGTGGTTATGAGAGCCAACTTACCCTCAGCACTGCTGTTGGAGTGTATCGCCCATATGAGTATCAGCTTCGATGACGTATGCGAGACGTCGCCGAGAATATGGAAGAGGTTGAACCCCATCTTGGGGATAAATAATGCTATGCGACGGCTACACAGCTCTAGGCTAGCCGCCTGTCGCCTACGTGTTAGGGCTCAAAGCGCGCTTCCGGCACTCGGTGCCGATAGGAGGGTCGGAAATGGAGGAATGCCGGTGCGAGAAAGTTCGGCACCAGTTCCGATAGAATTCGGGGGCGACGATAGGAAAAGACGGGTAGGCGATGGGTGGGTTGGTTGGTGATGCGTAATGTCTTCCCCGGGTTTCCAGGTTGACGCAAGCTACCACGCTACATGTAACGTGCTTGGCAATTCCCAAGGGTCCACACTAGCGCGTCGGATCTGGCCTAGTCGCTTGAGCTAGCCTGGAGAATGGGAACGCGAGGCTGAAAACTACACATCTAGTGTCTGAGTTATGTGGTCTAGCTTCTGGGATTTGCAGGAGATTCAAGATTGTCGGCGAGCTTAGACGATGTTGAGAATTGCGTTTGCATGCATGCGTCTCGAGGTCTTTCTCGATAGGCGGTCGGACTGTGCACCGATCCGGCATAGGCTACCGACTGCTTGGTCAGAACGCTCATCGTGACCATGTAGCTCAGGAGTTTGGATCTACTGAAACCCATTCTCAACAAGCGCATCTTTTAGGTCGACTCGTATATTACTCGAAGAGTAACATTTGCGAGGTCGGGTGCCAGTGGATCCGGACTAGAGGACCCCAAGAGGCTCGTTTCACTTTTGAACCACAACCTGCGTGCTGGTGCAAGTTCTGGTATCGCACAAAAAGATTGCTGCGTGTCGCATAAAAATTCGAGGTCAAAAGCGGGACTACATACCAAATGTACGGCACGATAATAGTCGGGCGGTGTGAGGCGCAGCGAGCGAGCTAAGCAGACATCGTGGCTCAATTTACGCCCTGTACTATTCCGAGATGCAAAGCCCACAAGGCCTTGCAAACGAGCGTCTATATCGTCCGCGGGCCCCGTCGCAGTAGTTCAATCAGCCGGTAAGTGAATTACAACGCCGCCTAGGTGCCACCCGCAGCCTCATATCGGTGCTTCTCACGGCGAAGATCATGGACGCCTGGGTCAGGACTCCAAGGCCTCCAACGTGGCGCGCGGGACGGATGGTAGCATCCTTAGGCCAGGTACACAATCCTTCACTGTACCTAGGTATACTTCGAGAAGGTCGTATGTGTTCCGCGTCCGTAACGGTGAAGACGTTGCCAACTCCAGGCGGACATGCAGTGGTTGCGATGTGAGTGGCCAACTTCGTCACTTCGCAACATCTCAGGCAAAAGTGCAGATCCAGCCCTTTAAGCCACGTGCAGTTTGCTATACAGCATAGTCACTGTAAATACCCGCGATAAAACAGATTCACCAAGTGCCGCAACGTGTATATTTCCATTTGCACTTCGGAACGGTGGTTAACCGGGAAGGCTGAGTGAACCAAGGCAGATTCTGTGCCCATGGAAAAAGCAAGACAGAAACTGCAAGTCGAAGGACGAGCGTAAAACAATGGAGTCGTAGCTATATCAAGAGTCAAAAGGCAGTGTACCAAGATCTGGAGCCGCCGCACGCTGCGGTCGCAAAGTTCAGTGCGTGGCCATGGGCACCACCCACGCTCCACTCCACGGAAAGACCATGAAGGACACTCTTCAACACAAGAAGTGTCGCAGCTATTCTGCCGATACAAAGCCCTCGACGAAACACGGCTAACAAAGTAACGAGTGAGGATCACCGTTAGAAGACAACAAGGAAGCGGGGTCTTCGGGCACTGAACCGCCGCACAAACGAAGTCTTTTAGCCGTTCAACAACGCACAGCCCAGATTGACTAGTAGCAGATATGGCCCATGGCGGTGGGGTGTGACACCCACTGAGCATCGTGCGGAAGGTCGCTGTCGGCGGTATTCCACGGATCAGACCCGCGGTGTGGGGCGAAAATCGACATGGCAGATGTACACGCTAGCAAGCGACGTGATGTGGATAGCAGTGGTGGCAGTGATCTTCGCTGATATCGTGAGCGAGTGCTGTGTGAGGGGTGCGACGAAGAGGAGGTGAGTTGGAAGGGTGGGAACAAGGACGAAAGGGGCGAATTAGCGGTCATTGCCCAGCCAAAGCGTATATTAGCGGCCAATGAAAATTACCGCAAACGTGCATTTAAGCGCCGTCGCGTCCTTCGCTTTCAGCTTACGCACCATATGCGGGGCAATTTACTGGCTTTGAGGTACCTCGACGGCACGGCTGTCCAGGCGCACCGAATGGGAAGACACGGCTGGCCAAATTTCCTCGCTGCTGCGCGATGGAGTGCAACCCTTGTTGACGGCATCCTATGGCGCCGCCAGCACAGACAAGTTCGTCAATATCACGCTGCATCGAAAAGAGATTAACCTACTGGGTAGCGATTGTGGGAGGAGTCTCAGACGTCAGGGCCGACGTCAGGGTGGCCGCCTTACTGAAGGTTACATTCGACTTGCACCCTCAAAAATCACAGGTATGTGCACTAGCCACGGTGCCGTGTAGCGGGCACGCCCTGGCCGGCCAGGCGTGTAGCGGATTCCGATAGCAAGGCTGCCGCGACGCCCACACGGTCATGATCACCGTTGTTGCAGGACACCACCTAGAAAACCCAGCGCAGCGTTCCGGGCCAGCAAATGGGCCGGACACAACCGTCGAGCGACGCTGCATGGCTGGCCAATTCGCGGCCCAAGCGCAAGGCATGGCATGCTGGGGTCAGGGCCGCCAAACCATGAAGAGACAAGAGAAGAGCAAGGTGAAAGCTCGGGGCGCTAACCTGCAGGCCTGACCGTCAGTGCGCAGCAGCATCCTTCAAAGCCTACTGGGGGTGGCACGTTAGAGTCGACGCACTAGAAGTGACCTGCACTCGAGGCCGCTATACCGTTACCATCTTGATAAATATGACTGAGGCGTTCCCCTAGCCTAGTCGTCCAGCTCGAGCCTGAATATCATCACCGTGCGCCGCATCCTCTTCTTGCTACCGCCCGTCTCCAGTCTGCTACATTAGCGACCAGCAGTAAGGCGCAGCAACATAAGGTTCTTCAAATCCTTACTCGCAGCCGCAGTTGTCATGTCTATCATACTTGAAGGTGCTATCCTCCCTCCGCATCATCTCCAAGACAAGTCAGCCTCGTCCTGGCCAAGTCCCTACCACCCTCAGTACTACCCCGCGTTGGCCTCCTCACCTGGCACTATGTCTCCACAGTCGTTCCATTCATACAATCCACGCTTGCCAGAAAGCCCTCTCCCCTCTCAAGAACTCAACTGTCAGCCGACTACTGGGTGGTATGCCCCCTCAATTTCGGCCCCAGAGTGCCATAGCGAGGTTTGTACTTCACCCTTGTTGCGAGATCGGCTGCTCATATGCCGTCGTCTAGACCACATACGCCTCATATGGCTATATACCTCCACAAGCAGCGTCGGTCAACTTGTCACCGCCTGCGTCTACATCCTACTACTCAGCAACAGCTCCAGTGTCCACTACACATTCATCGACAGCCATCTCTCCAGGTACCGTCTATTCGCGGGACTCTGTGGTGCCAGAATCTGCACGCCCATCTGAAGAGCCCCAGTCCGACGCAAGGACTGCACTGCATCAGCCCACTTCCCGCTACAGGAGACGGTCTCACTTCATGGATCGATCCCACAGCAGTTCAGATTCGCTACATTCGGCCGCAGTGGACGGCTCCTGGACGATGAATGCACTGGGCATCCATGCAAACCACGAGGCCTACTATCCGTCATTCCCAACCCATAGTCCCCGATTGAGTGAGCCATCAACGGAGCTGTCATCCAGCCACATGCCCTCACCACAACCCCGACGCATGTACACACCGATCGCTCCTCTACCCCAGGAGACACCCCGTTCGCACGGGATCAAGCGAGAAAGGGAAGACGACGACCAAGAAGAGCCCAAGCGAAGGAAGCGATCAGACTCACAGATATCAACGCAGTTCGAGCTCAGCGAGGAAGATCGCCTACTACTCCAGCTTAAAGACGAAGAACACATGCCATGGAAGGACATCGCAGCACGCTTCCTCAAAACTTTCGGCAGGCAGTACCAAATACCTGCACTGCAGATGCGTATCAAGCGGTTAAAAGAACGGATGCGCGTGTGGACTGAAGTGGACGTCCAAGCACTGCGTAAAGCCCATGACTTCTGGGTGCAAAACAAGTTCGACATCATCGCGCAAAAGGTATGCATCACCACCATCGTAACTGGAGCGCAGCCACTAACTCCACAAGATGCTCGAGTACGGCGCAGAAGAGAAATGGACCGCACGCCAATGCTCTCGTAAATGGCAAGACATCGATCCAACGCCCATACCCTATACGCAGTTCGACCAGCACGTCCAGCACGTCCAGCAAGGCTTTGCCCCCTACGCGATGAGCCCCATCGAGCCCACGCCCATGAGCTTCCCTTCTTTCCTGCACCAGCACCATACCACCTAGTCAACCTCGTCAGTGTCAGCCTCGCCTATTACGGCTGGAGGATGCGGGTAAACCACGCCGCATCGCTCTTCCACTCTGTTTCTTCCACTACTAGGGATTGTCCCATCTGGACAACATGTCTAAACGCTTCTCGCGATGCGGCACAGACACACGGCGTTTAGCAAAGCGAGAGAAAAAACGGGCGGCTTGCATGTGGGCAGGGAGTTCTATGGGGCACAGCAACAGCATCAGCGCGCAACGCTTCTTAACGTTCGCCTTTTATGTCATCTTTCTTCTTCTTTCGCTCGATACCCTTGCTTAACTAACTACTTTTGTTGAGATATCTTATCCCAAATACATATAACGGTCATCTTCATCTCCTTTGCCTTCTTGAGTCGCAGCTAGATCTCACAGGCCATCTGCGCGGCCCCCTTCTTCTGCTTCACCATATGCGCCTGCGCACATCACGCATCCCTGTTGCGCGTCTTTTCGGCTGTAACAGTAAACTTCCTTCAAAGAGCGCGTCTGCATCTACAAAACGTGGAATGGAACAAACCGAGATCGCGTATCTTGACCCCAAAAATGTTAAACCCTTCTTCGTTTTCCCTTTCTGTTGCTCGCGCATGGCTTTTCGCACCGCCCTAACTAATCTTATGCCACCTTGTGGGGCCCTCGTTTTTGCTCTGGTCCCTCGCTCCTTCTTCAACGGGGCACCCATCTCCGTTACCCTACCCACCACCCACCTGTGCCGAACTGCGCCGCAATACAGTACAGTCGTGCCGCAATCACGATTGTATCGATTTTTGGCGCGCTGGTTCCAGATGTCTTAATAGAAAGCGCTGGGACAGGTTCGCTTAGGTCTTGACAAGGCTTTCTTATTTTTTTCGCGGCTGCTCATGTGGTTAGTGGACAGTAGACACCGTTTAACAGGCAGAATTTGGGCTTTCACCCGCGCGGCTCACATGTCTTGAGGGCGGCACGGTGGTGGTGGTGCCGTACCTTCGCGCAGACGGTCTGGAGATGGGTGCGGCGCCGCAATCGGGCCTTTCGTGTCTTGGTGCCCTGCCCGCTATGGAGAAGCGATGGACACTGTTACATTCGTCGTTCCTTCGTGTGAATCCTGTCAAAGGGCACGGGAACATGACGTGCTTTCGCGATGAATGCCAATGTGCGCGTAGTCTGACTCGATGATGCAGGTCACACATTCGGGTCTGTTACGTATAGCACCACGCAGTCTGTTCTGTCGCCTGGGTGAGATGCATCATCGCTGGCTGCGCTATTTGCTTAGCTATGGCGGTACGCATGGGTCGTGTGCATTCCGCCTCTGACTTTTCCGTGTGTATCGGTGCTTGTGTAAGAAATGTTAGTAGTAAGAAAGCGTGATCGACGCCAGCATCCCTCGTATACCTCCATTCCAAGCTCGTGACTGGTCAGCATAGTCAGCCCTATGTGTAGGCTACGTTGTACAGTCCCTACTCCACGCGAGCACGTAACAACTTACATGCCACTGTTGTAATATGCATGGGCCCATAGCGCGAGTATGCTAGGGGGTCTCAGATACGCACACCGTACCTATCCTCGTCATCATTCCCTGCGTCTGCCACTATCTTACAGAGGTAGTTTCACATTCTTAGTGATCTCTGGTCGAGACCATTCTTCGGCAGATGCATCAAGCACTGACAGACTGATTTAGCCAGTGCGATTGGAAGGCACGGATGCCATGCGGTCTCCTGGGGCGTAGTCCAAGGAGATCAGCAAGACGAACGGTCCTTACATAACGCCGTGCCGACTTGCGTGTGTGGGTATATCCTCATATCGACATCGAGCAGTGAGCTACATGCTGATGTTGCAGAGAAGAGGAGCTCGGCCGTATCATCACCGGCTGATGGGCTATCACAGGCGTATAGAGGATGGTAGTATCACCTCTCCACACTGTGTGGGGATCTAAGCAGGAACACCGGCTCCCACATGCCGTGGAGTTGTATCTGTCAATCAAGGGCCCCCGCAGTTCTGACTTCCCCTTAAGCTGTCAGTCGCTCTTCAAACGGCACGGGTGGCGTCGGTATGCACAACAAGAACTTTCATCACACACTCTATATCCTTCACTGCTGCGACATCCTTTACGCCGAGTGCTCTCTTATACGCACTGTAGATGTAACGAGTGGACAACGACTACGTACTGAGTGTAAGCACTGCTGTCAGAAGCTCGAGCTCTATGCATGATGCCACCGAGACCTTCGAGGCAGTTTCAATCGACGCATCGACAATGGCTTCAAATACGGTCTGACGTGTACCACACATCTACCAGATCCAGCACGAGCACGGGTAGAAGTAGAATAAGGACGATGCTGATGGACCGCGCGGTGTAATATCATGCATCTCGTGGCTATGACTGGTCAGCGCGTCTCGAAATCTGGTGGATGGCGACGAACGATTTGCTTGGTGATCGCCCGTGGCTTGCTCGGAAGGAGGGAACTTTCACGTCACAAGCCCTAGTCAGCTTACATCCGCTCGCCAAGGCAGTCGCGGACCGCGATGAAGACGGGTTCGTTGCGCATGTACGCAGCTTACTCCTCCTCGACGTCGCCAGCGGCCCGAACGGCCCTACGCTCGAGGTGAAAAACGGCTGGTAGCGGCCTTTCGCGTAGAAGTTCCAATGGGAGTGGTGGTAAGAGTCAGGATTTAGTGTGATAGACTTCTTCTAGAAGTCTTAATGGGCTGCTTATCATCTTAGACTAAGCCTTCGAGAACGCGCCGTGGCCAGTAGTAGGCCTCGTCGTCCGCGTGTGCTGTATACCCCCACGTTCCTGCGTCGTCGCGCATCACGCAGCGATCGGAACATACCGCCATTCTACCTGGCTAGCCGTTCACCGCTGACAGCAGGACAGTATTCCACGTTCTCCTTCCGAGCATGAGTGCCAATAGCGGCGACACTCAGGCGCAGGATGCGGACTAGTACACTCGGGGTAGGTGACATTGCTCGATTCTTCGGGATCTCCTCCGCATTGCCGAGCACGCGATAAGACCATGACCAGAGTCAGTGGAAAAAGATCCCTGTAGCTGGAGATGACGCATTGAGCGACGGTTGAGGCTTGTGTCGAGGGGTTGAAACAGATCAGGAAACGGTTTGACTGGGTCGTGAAGTAGATGGAAGGGCAAGCAACGTGACAATGACAGAGTAGCTGCAGTTGACGACTCGGCCGGGTTAGTGTTTCATGATCTACGCCCCACATGAGCAAAGGAGTGGAAGCGAAGTGTTTCCCGTTTCTGCGACCCAAACGATAGAGTCAGTCGATAATGGCAAATATTGTTGAACTGCACATGTTTTAGCCGTATCGCATGGGTTTTCAGAGGTGGCACAGAGCGACCAGGTGCTAGGCCCTATGAAGTCACCTTGCACGTGCGTGTCAGCGTGCATCCCTTCACGGCTCACCGGTGGTACTACAGGCCTGCCGAACCACTCGTTCATACACTGATGGTCGGACAAGCCTCAAGGCTACGGCAGAGATCGATCTCTATTCCGATAATGCGATCGGCATCCGTCGAAAATATGTCGTACAAAACTCTTCGACTAATGATGGAAAGCTGTTGTGCTACGCTCCGTGGAGTTGAGAAACGTAAACTGACTCCTGAGACGCTGCCGGGGTGTGCCGAACCAAGGGCCAGTCTATCGGTGTGTCGGAGAACGAAATAGGCCTGCAACCTGCTATCCACTTGCAGAAAGCACATACTCTTTACGCGACCCAGAGGTCCAAAAAGGAGGGGGTTCGGGACGTTTCAGGTCCGTGGGCTCGCATGCGCAACGTGGTATTGTAATTATCCATAGTGTCAGGCGCCTATTCGCGTGCGTTCGCCCCACCAGCTCTCGCCAGTCTGCAGCGTCTTCTCCAGATCTTCTTCGGCCCTTCTAGCGCTGACAAAGGGCCCGTCATCTCGGATCCCGTGCAGCTGAGGCCCGCGAAGCCGCCTGGGGTTCGCGTGAGAGCTGGGAGCTCGATGCCTGTCTTGCTTCGCATATATGTGTTGAGCGTAAGAGGCGTCAATAACGGCGGTGATCGCTGGCTAAATGTGTGCAGAGTGGCAGGAAAATCCGGTAATTTGCCTAATTATGTGGTGTTGCATTGGGTTGATTCGCTGCGTCATATGTCCTTAAGTGGTGACTGCAAATTGATATTAATATTGCCGCTTTGGGAATGATTGTGTGGTAAGAGGCGCGCATACCGTCCACATTGGATTGGTGGTAACTGATTCCCAAGAGGAGCGGCGATAATAAAGAAACTCCAAAGTCCGATGGAGTGACAAAAAAGTTTTGTGTCGCTACTCGGCGTAGCTAGGTAGGTGATCTTGCTACTGACGCGTCTTTAGTCTTCGGTCTTGGCGGTTTATGTCCGCTATTTCCAGGCTCGCCGGAGTATACTCCTACAGGTACCATCCCGTCTTTGAAGCAAAAGCCGCTCAAGACATATAACTATTCCCATCTATTTCATTACAAAGGTACTATGCGTACTGCTGCCATCACAAGATTGTCAAATCTACGTTCTCAATTGTCCCTTCCAAGATCACCACGGTCCTTCCATACGTCATCAGCAATCATGGCAGGGCTCACCATCAACTCGCAATATACCATGCCATCAGGCTATACGATCCCCGTGCTCGGATTTGGCGTATATCAAACACCGGCAGACATCGCTTCTGATGTGGTTCAGCACGCGCTCAAAGTCGGCTATCGCCATGTTGACTCCGCCGTGGCTTACCGGAACGAGCAATCATCTGCGGAAGGCATGAAGAAGTCGGGCATTCCAAGAGAAGAGCTATTCTTCACGACAAAGATCCCTCCGAAAGACATGAGCTACGAGAACTCGAAACAGCACATTGAGAACACCCTCAAGATCACCGGATTCGACTACGTCGATCTCTACCTCCTGCACAGTCCCTACGGCGGCAAGGAGAACCGCATTGGAGCGTGGAAAGCGCTCGTTGAGGGTGTGCAAGCAGGCAAGATTCGGTCGATAGGTGTTTCGAACTACGGTGTACATCATCTAGACGAGCTAGAAGCATGGATCAAAGAGACGGAGGCAAAAGAGGGCAAGGGCAAGGGCGGAGTAATCAGCGTCAACCAGGTGGAGCTTCACCCGTGGCTCGCGCGTCCAGAAATCATAGACTGGTGTAAGAAGCGGGGCGTACTATGCGAAGCATACAGTCCAATCGTGCGCGCGACAAAGAACGACGATCCGCTGCTCAAGCCCCTCGCGAAGAAGTATAACAAGACGCCCTCGCAAATATTGCTGAGATGGAGTGTACAGATGGTGAGAATGAACGCAATAACTCCTTGCTAGAGAGTAATGAACTGACGTTGCCATTACAGGGATTCATACCGCTCCCCAAATCCGTAACCAAGTCTCGTATCGAGGAGAATGCCCAGATCTACGACTTTCAACTCACATCTGAAGAGATGGAGAGCCTGGATACCGGAGTGTATGAGCCCTGCGCATGGGATCCCACCGTCAGTCACGACTAAGATGGGAAGAATATGCATGTATCTACTGAGAAGCCAGCGTAAATTCAAAACTCATAACGTCCCACACTGAAAATCCGCTTGTGGCCACTCGTCTTCCCCCACACACCAGTCTTTCATGTCAACATCTGTTTTCGCTTCGCATGCTACCTTCACTCTTGGGTCATCCTCGTACCAATTATCTGTCCAGTCGCCAACCCAAAAGGTTACTTTCTCCAACTCTTCCCCTTGCTTCTTGTCTCTCATATACCTGAAGATGCTCAGCGCTCCTCTGTGGCTAAGGAGTGGTGGTCCGATTCTGGTCTCCCCCTTATATTGATCGCTGAACTCGTCCGCGCCCAAGTTCCATGGGTCGAGCACTTGTATCCACAAGTCCGCTTCTCGCAATGTGGGTATAGTAGCAATCTTTTCCAACGTTTCCAAAGGCGAGCTGGTAGCGTTACGCAAGACGTTCATGCTAAGATGCCTGAGTTTCTTCGCGCTTTTCGTTATTATCAGGATCTCGTCGTCAAGATCGCCGTTATACCTCCATGGATGATGCTCAGTATCCCAGCGCATCTCAAGACTCTCTAAAGACCCGCCCTGATGGTTCAAAATATCGTCGAAAAGGGCCGTGTCGCGCTCGCCGTTGACAAGAGACAGGTGCGTCAGCATGTTCTTTGGCAAGTTCAGGATGAGTTCGCCGTCTGTTGTCTTCAGCTTCCGCAGCGCTCGGGACTGCGAGAGGACCTTTCGCACGCTGTCTGGGACTGTATCTACGGAAAGCTCCTCGATACACTTCCAGTCCATCGCATCAAGCCACAACTCCGCGTTGGTCTTCTCAAGCTGATGTTTCGATTGCGTGCACCATGCAAGCCAGCTCTGCCAATGTCGTTTGTAATACCAGTACAAGGTGTCCTTGAAGCATTCCAGTTTGCTCTGTGCGAGACACTTCGGCGCATTCCAAACGTTGCGACTTTCCCGTCTATCCCATCCGTAGTAGCCCAAAACCTGCAAAGACTTGATATCGGGATATGTCTCACCACCGAAAGGGCTCAGTGGTAGGTCCATCCGGTCTGGCCATGTACTACAGAATCCCCAGATGCTGATATCCAGGGAGGATATGTTGGGGCAGGTAAGAAGGGCGGAGTGGACGGAGTTCAAGGATGTGAAAGCGAAATGATCGGGATCGCAATCGTCGGACCGGCAAGGTTCATCGTGAATATATGCCTTGATAGAAGTGGGACAAGGGTCTTTAGGTGTCCATGGTCGGGGACGGAGGGCTAGCGTAGTTGGTAGGATGTAAATAAGAAAGAGTATGAGGGTGTTGAAGCGCATAGTAGCTGGTGTGCAGGATTGTGGATGGCAATGTCAGTAGCGTTGTGTATCGATGCATCATCTAGATGGAGTTTGCCTGATATAACATCCGCTCTGCTACAGGATGAGTCAATAAATTATTGATATTGTCATGTTGTCTTCTTGGTGTTTTTGCTGTTGCCTGAACGTCGCGGCCCCAACAAAGCTCTTGCACGGCTTTAAGGCGTCCAGGACTGCGATTCTGACGTTGTGGCCACATATGTGATGCTGCTGAATTCTTGTGGCACGAACACTGGGGGTCAATGTCCTTTGTGAATTCTCTACGACAGCCTCGTAAGTGGTTTCTCGTAGCCTGGTCATATGTATTCCCATTTCTTGCAGTTGCGCACACTTGTAGTGTAGGTTCGGAAGGCTTAGGGAATTGAGATGAATGGCACAAGCGAGTCATCTCGCGATGCAGGACGAGTCATGCAACGCACCGCCTTCACATGCGATGCGATGTGCCCCCTTCGCGTCCGAGCTTCTACACAATGACGACGATGCAAGGTTGTGCCGAGGTTATCCGAGACACAGCATCGAAGTTCGCGCAACATGTTGAAGGGCACAAGGGCTACCTAAGTGGAGAGTCGGGAAGGCGTCTACGTCATACTGACCTTGCTGCGAAAACCGTAAACATATACAACAACCCCCATATTCATCCACTCTTGTCTGCTACACAACACCCCCTGATACCCATTTGAGCTTTCAAACTTTCAACTACTCTAGATTCAATCCCAGATACAAACTCCAAGTCATTCATTATGGTCACAAACAAGAAAGTCCTCATTGTCCTCTCCGACGCGTCCTCCTTTCCCCTCTACAACACCGGTAGCGACGGAAAGACCGTATCGCAAGACTCAGGCTACTTCCTCATGGAGCTAGCGAAGCCTCTTCAAAAGATCCTCGACGCCGGCTACGAAGTCACATTCGCATCACCAGAGGGCAAGGAGCCCACACCAGACCCACTCAGCGTATCTCTCGCCGCCTTCGCCGGAAACTACTACGAGAAGCAAAGAGAGCTGGAATTAATCGAGCGCATGAAAAAGGAGAATGGCTTCTCGCGACCAAAGAAGTTCTCCGAGATCAGTGATGACGAGTTGAAGCACTTCAGTGGAGTCTTCATCCCCGGTGGTCACGCTCCTTTGTCCGACTTGGGCGACAACGCGGATCTCGGTCGCATACTCACACACTTCCACACTTCGTCAAAGCCAACGGCTGCTATCTGCCACGGACCCTGGGCTTTTCTAAGCACCAAGTACGGTCCGAGCAAGAAGTTCGAGTACGCTGGGTACAAGATGACGAGCTGGTCGGATGCCGAGGAGAAGTTGATGGAGACGATCTTCCGCGGTGAGATCGACAAGGTTGAGGGTACGCTTAGGCAAGAGGGTGCGGATATGCAGGAGGGTATTGCTAAGTCTATGGGCAGTATTACTGTGGATAGGGAGCTTGTTACTGGGGATAACCCGATGGCGGCGAATGCGCTGGGTGACAAGTTCTTGGAGATGATGGCTGCGAAATAGATGCGGTCTGGTGGAATCCCGGCGATGGTACGGCACCGTGTACGATTATATGAGCTACGAATTCATAACCAGCTACGTGTCCAGAAGTGTTGAATGCGATCAATGTCGCCTCTACTTATTGCTAATATCGGTTCTGATACTAAACTCTTCTTTTCTATACTTAACCCGCATCATCTCCTCCACGCCTCCCTCAAAAGTTCCCAAGCACTTCTGCGCGCTCCTCATCCTCCTCTCGACCAACCTCCTAAGACCTACCGCGGTCGGCCTTCTCGCCGGCATACTCTGATTACAAAGTTCAAATATCCGTATCAAATCCCTCGCATAGTTCGGCTCATACATCGTAGGCGCCAGTACAAGAAGGGTGTGCGCAAGAAAGCGACTTTGTGCGGGACCTGCATGTACAGTATTAGTGAGAGCAGCGTGCCAAGGCCCTTGAACTTTTCGTAGGCCGAGAAAAGTATGGATCATTTCCCATAGCACGGTGCTTAGAGACCAAACATCTGTCTTGCAGAAGAGCGGTTGCCGGTGGAAATAGCCAAAGACGCGTGCGTCGGGTTCTAGGGTGTGCAGATCGATGTTATTCTCGGATGCAGCATAGCCTCGCGTGTACAGGTGGTACTTCCTGGTGTACTACTCATATCCGAATAATTCGAGCATGTCGTCGAGGTCTGCTAGCACAGGTCGTGGGAAAGAACTGAACGACTCTTGGGGCTCCATGAGGAAGATATTGCTGGGCTTGATGTCGCGATGCACTTTTGGTATCCATCCTAGGGCTTCTGCTGTATCGGGTATACCTGACGTGTACGTCAAACCGGATGTAAGGTTGTAGATTACTTCTGAGAGTGTAATGAGTACGATCCAAAACATCGGTTCGGGAATCTGATCGTCGGTGTCCTCCTACCATCTCCACGCACTGTAATGCTCGATAATGCTGGACAATGTGCCTGCAGAGCAATAGTCCACGTACCTTTCCACCTCGTACCTGTGTGTGGAAGTGAAACCGCTGCCCTCGCCATGGTCATGGAAAGACCAGAACCTGGATTTCAGTATTGCGACAGAATTGGGAAGCGTGTCGATGATCCGGCAGACTGCCGTTCGCTCATTGAAGACGGCTTTGTCGTTCATTGTGACCTTCTTGATTACAAAGCGCTAGATCGATGTTAGTATGTATGAGCGACAGGAAAACGAATGTCGAAACTCACGTCGCGTATGGTGTTAATCTGGTCTAGCGCGACATACAAACGTATAGTTACGTGTTTTGCATCCTCGCGTTCGTCTGACAGCGTTTTTACGAACTGATACCAGAGATCTGAGGCCATTTTCGTTACCCTACATTGGATGTCCTGCTGATCTTATCATGTCATTGTGTTAGCGGTTTGCTAAGGATGATCGCTCTAGACTCGGAGTCATCTTGCGGTAAGTGCTCCCAAATCAGTGTACATCTGAATCTCTCATATGCAGACAATGACTAACATCAAACAAAGACGTGTTGAGATGTCGCGTCGTAGGGGTTTGCCAAAGGCCTTTGTCTTGAGGAGCAGCAGGAGGCTCGATGTATTACGTTATCGACTATGACGGTCTGAATGTGGGAATAGCATCGAATACAGCGTCCCTGTGGAAACGTAGTTTTGGCAATCCCATCTACTGCATCAAACTTCAGTGCTAATGGGAAGGAATTCGTGAGGCTGTATAGGTGGGGGTCGAGGAAGAGGCCCTACCGGAAGCACCTAAGCGAACGCGTCGCCCCCGGTCCACGCGCCGAGCATCCTCATCCACTTTTCGCGTCAAGCATTATTCAGTGATAACGGCGGCCTATGCAGCACCGAGGCAGAAGCAGATGGTCCAAGATAACACGACTGCAATTAGCTCTCACCGACCCCGCACCCGAATGATAGCTAACACCAATCATCCTCAACATTGCAATCATCGCCAGTGCCGTAATTGCGACATCCATTAGACGCCTTCCCCAAGCGCATTGGTGACTGCCACTACGGGCAGGGCACAGTGTCTGACAGAGGCAGTGGAGCCTCTGATAGCAGGAACGCTATTGTATGTGACAATGCTCGGCGCGGCCTCGGCGCATTAGCAGCAGCTCCAAAAAAGCATGGTTATAGCATGACGCAGGGCCGTCCAGTAACCCATCATCGGGTCCTCATTGTAAGACTGGAATAGACCCAGCTTCATCGCTAAACCTCAATTCGGCCACAACACCATGGCCACACCCGGTTACAGACTCGGCGTTGATGTTGGAGGGTAAGTAATGATCGCCTCAATTTTGCCTCATGAACCGGTGGGAGGACGCCCGCCCGCTAGCTTCTTCCTAGCCACGGCGGCGAACATGCAGAGCTTCCCCGAATCCACCACTGCCAGCACTTCGCGGCTTGCCTGAACACGGCCCACGTCAGGAAGCGCGGCTAACACTATCCTAGAACCTTCACCGACGGTACGGCCCTTTTCCGCAAAGTATGCTCCATCTTTTAATCGAGCCTAGTCTGCGTCATCACGCCGAATGGCGAAGCGGTACGCACGAAAGTTCCGACCAACACGACAGATCAGTCTATTGGTGTGCAAGACGGAGTACAACAGGCACGGAAAATACTGAAAGAGAGGTACAACTGGGAAGGCAGATTTGAGTACATACACCATGGCACAACCACCGGTACCAATGCGGTGCTTGAAGGCAAAGGCGCCAAATGCGGTCTCATCGTTACCAAGGGTCACAAGGACATCTTGTCCACACGACGAAGCCAGATACCAGGCGGATTAGGCTCATGGATGCACTACGAACAGCCCGACCCTCTCGTGCCTCTCGAGAGGACTGTAGAAGTCAAAGAGCGTATCAAGATTGACGGTGAAGTCTTCTATGAGTTGGATGAGGATGAATTACGAAAGGACTTGCAGGATCTGAAGAGACAACAACCGCAAGCGATTGCCGTATCGCTGATCAACTCCTTCGCTAACAGCGCGCATGAAGAACGCATCAAGGTCATACTGAGCAGCGAGTTCGGTCCAGATGTCGAAATCGTCACTTCTACAGATGTGCTGCCGGAGATCCAAGAATATGAGCGTACCGTCACGACAGCCGCCAACGCCATCGTCAAACCGGTGGTAAAGAGTTATATGCAGAACCTGCAAAAGAAGCTCGAGAAAGACACAGACACGATCCGCATCTTGAAATCCGATGGCGATTTGACTTCAACCCACCTTGCTGGCGAGACACCGGTGCGCATCCTCATGAGTGGGCCAGCTGGTGGCGTCAAGGCTGTTTCTCATCTCGTCGCGAAGAACACGCCTTACAAGAATCTCATTACATTCGACATGGGTGGAACTTCCACTGACTGCGCTCTACTTCCGGGAAGCGATGCCATCATCCGACGAGAGACCGCGATCGGTCACCTATCAGTACGAGCACCCAGCGTAGATGTTAATACTGTAGGAGCCGGCGGTGGCTCTATCGCGATATTCAATGACTTCACGAAGACTCTACGTGTCGGACCTGAGTCTAGCGGCGCTACACCTGGACCTGCCGCTTACGGAAAAGGTGGCACCCAAGCAACTGTGACCGATGCAAATTTGGCATTAGGTCGCCTTCCGTCAAAACTGCTCGGTGGAAAGTTCCAGTTGGATGTCGCCGCATCTACAGCTGCAGTCGAATCGATCGCTAAGCAAATGGGCCTTGATACAGCTTCCGCAGCTGAGGGCATCATCGACCTGGTAAACGAATCCATGCACGGTGCTCTCCGGCTAGTATCTGTGGAGCAAGGCTATGATCCACGGGATTTTGCATTGGTTGCGCTGGGTGGTGCAGGTCCACTTCATGGTAACGCCCTTGGTCAGCTTCTTGGTTCCTGGCCTGTTATAGTTCCTCCTTCTCCCGGAGTACTATGTGCCCAAGGTGATGCTATCACAAAGATGTCGCATGAGCAGAGTTGCACATACATTCGTGCATTCTCCGAGATAACCGAGGAAGAGCTCAAAGAGACGTTACTGGATCTCAAGGCCGGCGGTGTAGGAACGATGCAGACCTCGCTTGCAGACGAAAACGCTGCTCTGCACGTCGTATACCAAGCAGATATGCGTTACAAGGGCCAAGCTATGACACTTACTGTTGATCTGACTTCCGATGAGTTCAACAACTCACATAAGCTAGTGGATATCTTCCGTTCCAAGTTCAACGAAGCCCACCAACACCAATTTGGCTTTTCACACTCGCATGCTGAGATGGAGACAATGCGCTTGCGAGCCAAAGTCATTGACGCTTCCGAAGAGGTGGCTTTCAAGCCTCTGGAGGATGCCCGTACTTCTGAACCTTGCAAAGACGCCATCACAGCTAAGCAGGTTATTGTCTGGGATGGGAAGAAGGTCGAGGCAACTTTCTGGGATCGGTCCAAAATCGGAGGAGCTGGCAAGATTATACATGGTCCGGCCGTTATTACGGAGATGGACTCGAATACGCTCATCCTTCCTGGATACTACGGAAAGATCGACTCCATGGGTAATATACTCATCTGGCCCACCGAGAAGAAGGACGACCGAAAGACTGTACATACCAAAGAGTCGGCTCAAGAATTGATCAAAGACCAACCCATCATCGCCACTCTTATCGCCTCTGCACTGGGATCTATCAGAAGAGAGATGGATGCTCTCCTGCTTCGTTGCGCCATGAGCCCAGCCATCCGTGAACAACAAGACGAGTTCAATGTCATCACCAACACACGTGGCCAGATGCTTGTCGGCCAGTTTGGATCCTTCATACAGCAGTTCCTCAACGGCTGGAACGGCACAATTGAAGAGGGTGATGTGTTTGTCACAAACGATGTATATCAGATTGATGGCGCCGTATCGCATCTCAACGACGTCATCGTATTACTTCCCATCTACTATGAACACAACCTCATAGGATGGGCCGCAAACTTCGGCCACATAACCGACGTGCAAGGGAAAGTACCAGGATCTATGAGCATAAACGCAAGCACCATCTACGAAGACGGGCTTCAAATACCTATCGTCAAGCTCTACACGAAAGGTGTCTACAATGAAACTCTCGCGACGGTACTCTTCCGCAATTCCCGTGCACCAGACTGGTTTCAGAGCGACCTCATGGCTCTCGTTACCGCTTGCCGCACAGCTGCCACGCGTGTCACCGAACTATGTGGACGCTACAGTCTGGAGGTGTACGAGGCAGCTGCGGATTATCTACTGGAGCAGAACAAGCTTGCCATTAGTAGAATCATCAACGAAAAGATCAGTGATGAGGTCTCAAGCTTTACTGATTTCATCGACGACGACGGACAAGGGGTTGGCCCTTACGCGATTACTTGCTCCATGAAGAAGGAGAATGGGAAGCTCATTTTCGATTGGGACGGTACTTCACCTCAGTCGAACAGCTCGATGAATTTCTACCTGTCTATCACGTTGTTCAAGATGTTCATCGGGTACCACTTGCTGGCCATCTACGACCCTTTCGCTGTAAGTATCCGATGCCCAAAGTCCGCATGAAACCTGACTAACTCCAATAGGTGGTGAACGATGGATTCCACGACTTGCTAGACATCAAGATCCCAGCCGGTACTATCCTTCGTCCCGTGCGTCCAGCAGCCGTCAGTTGCCGCACTCATCTACTCGGTCGCATCATGGACGTATTGCAAGCGCTCTTTGGCCAACAAAACCCCGCCTACCGTTGCGCAGCAGGTTTCTCGGACTCACCTCATCTCTTCTACTCCGGCTTCAAGCCTGATGGCGAGTTCTATCTGCTCTACCAGATCGGCTTCGGTGGCGTGCCTGCGCGACCAATCGGCGACGGACCAGATTGCCACTGTCTCTTCCCAGCCATAAAGTCGATCCCGGCTGAGAACATTGAGCTCTACTTTCCCGTCATTATCGAAGCCAACGAGGCTTTACCGGATTCCGGTGGCGCAGGTTTCTACCGTGGCGGTAATGCACAGAGGACGTTGTACAGATGGCTATGCGAAGGCGACGTCAGCACGCACGACGACAGATGGTTGACCAAAGCCTGGGGCGTCAACGGTGGAAAGCCTGGAAGCAGATCGAGAAAGGTTCTCTACCGGAACAACAGCTATGGTACACCAGCCGAGAAGGACAATATGGAGTTCTGTCAATCGAAGCAAGATTTCATACACGTCTACCCAGGTAAGTCGCACTCATTCGTGGCGTGCGTGGAACACAAAACTAACACCCCCAGGCGACGTACTAGAATGGATAACCTGGGGCGGCGGCGGCCTCGGCGATCCCTTGACCCGTCCACCCGAGCGCGTAGCCCAAGAAGTCCATCGCCGCCTCGTCACCCCCGAAGGCGCTGCAGAAAACTACGGTGTCGTCGTCGACCCGCACACCTTCAAATTCGATAAGTTCGCCACGTCAACCCTCCGCAGCAAGAAACGTGAGGCGCGTTCCAAAGAGGGCGTCTATAGCACTGACAACACGATTGATCGGGGTGGTACGCTCAGTGAGCTGATGCGCAAGTGTGAGGAGGAGACGGGACTGAAGGCTCCCGTGCCGCAGTGGGAGAAGAGGATTTATGGACCGCATGCTGGGCTGAAGTATGTGAGGGAGTGGTATGAGACGATGAAGAAGGAGGGGATGGAGAGATGGGATAGGGCGTAGGACGGTTTGGTGCTATGCGTGTAACGGGGAGTTAATTATGTAGAGTGCTTTCGTGGGAAGCTACATGATCTCAGTCTGCCACCGTGCTATTCTCTCCTCTCAAAAATTTGCATAGCCCCCGGATACCTCATCTCCAACATTTTGAGCATCTCGTCGTCGCGATAGATCCATCCTCCCGGTGGCACAAAGTCGCCGTTGCCGTCCAAATCCGCGTTCTGCCTCTGAGCAAATATCTGAGCAGATCTTGGAAGTCGTTGCCCACTCGATGGAGCGTAGAGCTGCATAATAGTACGATCCCTGAAGCGGCGATGCTCTGCGCGAGCCTCTTCAGCGAACGCATATTGATGGCGCAAAACACGGCTCTTCAGAATTGTCATCTTGATGGTGTAGTGTTGGAACGGGGATGATTCATCAGGTGTCGGGATATCGGTTCCGTGTTGAGTTGGCATCGTGATTTCGAAGCCGGCGTAGTCAAAGGAACGAGCCGGGAATGGCGGTTGTTCAATGCCATCCGTGTTAAAAGGTATCATCCATAAGTGCCTATCGCCGACTAGTCGCTTTCTCAGCGTTGAGGAATTTGGACTAGTGCTTGATGAGCCAGTGCTGGAATTCAATGAAAGTGCATCCTGAAGACTTTTCGGAGCGATGCTCATGCTGCAATAAGTCCAAGCCTTTAGTACCTTGTTCAGCATCGTGTCTGCGACGTGTTTGATTAGATAGCCCTCTCGTCAGATGAAGGCCTGGTACGCAAATGCTGAGCATGCCTTATTCCAAGTGATAAAGTTGACGTCGCATGTCAACGTAGCGGTCTTTATCCAGGAGAACGGAGGCGTCTCTGTCTGGGTGATTCCCACATATTGAGATTCCTGAGCGCTGGTATGAACCATGATTGGGCACTTGAAAGTAGTCTGTCATCTTGACAAGTAAGCTCTAGAGGGGACGTAAGGACTCACGCCTGGTATAGCGTTCTTAATTATGAGCTTGTAGCCTTCGCTCACAAGAAACGATGTCAGAGCCTCGGCGTGTATTCCTTTTTGCACGAGAAGTCTTTCCAGTATGCCTGTATTAGCTTCTTTCGATGCGGGGCTCAGCGACTTCCTCGGCATGAAGCCGAACGCACGACATCCGCTGATAAGGATGTTATGTTTCGCCTGTAGCGTACGAAACCCTTTCGGGTCTATGAAGAAATGCCCTAGTCTTTTGTTGATATCGAACTGCGTGCGTTCCACTAGACCAACGTATTCACTGAACGCCTTGGTGGTGCGAGAAAGTGCAACGATGTCGCGAATGTTGAGATGATGTAACACGCTGTCTTGTGCTGGTGTGAAGCGCATCAATAGATCAACTAAGCCTTTACATTCCGGTAGCATCTTTCGGGGGCAGAGCTTGCACGATGTGCGTGCTTGTTATGACTCCGCATCGTTTGATGCTATGTTGGGAGTGATGGGAGACATGTTTGCCGGGGTATTTGATGGTCTACATATGCTGCAGACTCGAGTACGTACAGTCTAACGGGATAGTTACTCTCCTCTGTATGGGTATTGAGGTTACTGTTCAAGTGACATTGCGATTGACTGTGTTGTCATTTAATCTCAGCAATCTATACGACTTCCCTCTCCTTGATCTTCTGACCCATAGCTTGCGCATCCGTCTTGTGCATTCCAAACTTCCTCGCCTTGACTCGATTCACAAACATCTCGTCCAACTCTTCGTACGTCCGACCAGCCGTCTCGGGCTGATAAAACCAAAGATACACCAAGCACAAAACAGACAAGCCACCGAAGATGAAACCCAACTTTCCACCGAGGTTGAGCTGATCAGGGTTGAACAGGTAAGGCAGCACAAAACTCCACATGGTGTTGAGCGCGTTCTGGAGAGCGAGACCAATGGCTATAGTCTTGATGCGAAGACGTGAAGTCGATGTCTCGCACAGGATAGTGTAAGCAGTAGCCCCGATGGTGACGTTGTACCAGAAGCAGTAAATCAGGATCATACTGATAGCGCCTTTGAGTGCGGGTATTGTGCCGACGACAGCGACACCGGCTATGACAAACAAGATGATAGTGAGCACAAAGAGTCCCCAGAAGGTAAGATTGCGACGACCTACGCGGTCGACTAGGTACCACGATATGACGTTTCCGATAAGAGAGAGCACTTGCTGCACGATCTGCAACTTGAACGACATGGCGGTGGTGAAGCCGGCAAGCTGCATGTAGTATGTCGAATAGGAAGCTGCGAACACGATGCCGCTGAGTGACTGGATAGTGAGTGGCATGACAGAGATGATAGTTCGCCGGAGGTTGGATCGGCGGAAGCACTCTAGGTATGTGACGCCTTCAGTCTCGTGCTTGACTTGTTGAAGTGTCGTCATGATCTGAGCGAGCTTCTGCTCGGCTGCGAAACCGCGATGACCAAGGCTGTTGAGTGCCTTGAGTGCATCAGCCTGACGGTCCTTGGATGCGAGCCACCATGGAGACTCGGGCATGAACCAGACGAAAGCGGCAGCTATCCCAGCGAATCCGTACTGGGCACAAAAGATAGCACGATATGCCCAGCGATCGGTGTTTACGCCCGTGGAGTTGACGATGAGCGCGACTGTAAGTGGACCGAGGGTGTATGAAAGCGCTGTCAAGCATGTCAACATGCCTCTGAGTTTCAACGGGGCGACCTCGCCGATGTATGTCACGGTGACGGATGCTAGGGCGCCAACGACGAAGCCATTCAGGAACTTGCCACCGAAAAACATCTCGTTTGTCGTTGCGACGAACTCCATGGTTACTGCGGCAAAGGTGATTGCGAGGCAGATCATGACTACTAGCCTTCGGCCAAGCCAGTCAGCAAGTTGACCACATCCGAGGGCACCCACGATAGCACTGTAGCGTTAGTACTGTTTGTTCAGCCTTCGATCCGATCCAGTTGTATTACTTACGAAGCGACAGGTGCGCCCTGGAAAGCTGACTGCCACCGAGCGTCAATGACATAGCTCACAGTACCGTCGTCCGCAGTAAATGGATGGCCGAAATCTTTCCTGAACTCTGGTATACCGATAACATTTCCCGCTGCTTGGTTTTCAAAACTGACTAGCAGCACTACCCACACCATGTATATCGACCAAGCACAAGCCCAGGGGTACTTGTGGAAGGACGCAAGTTTCCCGACCTTATGGTCTTCCTGGTTAGCGAGGTGACCAAGTTCGGAAGTGGCCGCGGTAGTCGTCTTTTCCGGTAGGTGTTCAGTGAACTCAACGGTGTTGGACTTTTTATCGTCGTCTAGAGCCATGATGGCCTGGGGAAATACAGGAGATAATGATAATGATATGGCTGTGATGATGAAGATGGCGGAAGTAGGCGGAACGAGTCAAAACAAGCTCATCCCGGCTCGAATATGCTGCGCAGACCTGAGGAATACGGAGGCAGTAATTTATACAACTTGCTACAATGTCAAGGCCGCCTACATGATGGATAATCTTATGCGCATGGGATCGAGCGGTCACCGAAGACCAGTCTTGTCGCATACTGCCGGATGATCGGGTTATGTGAATACCACGTTTGCCGCTGTGTTGCTGTTCGATCCTCGTGTTCCCTCACATCGACCAAGGGTTGAGTGGGTGTGCTTCCCTATATTCGGTATCTCGGTACGTATGAGGCATCCCTCCATGTTGCATCGTGAGTGTTTCGGAGAGAGCTAGTCTCCTTACGCTGCTTTAGCGCATCCGAAGTTTCGCCAGAGTTCTGCTGCCCAATGTTCTCAACATAGCGTACGCGAAGTTCTCCCGGTCGCACTCAGAAGTGTACTCCGAAGAATTGCAGGCTGGAAACCATGGTGTAATTGGTGGGATGATCATTAGTATAATCTGGGGTAAAATCAAGTTACATGTTGTGCGGGGAAAAAGGCATCTAACCTATCGAAAGAAAGTGCGAGCGTCAATAACCGTTCTATCAGGCCGAACGTTGACATCATTGATTCGCCGAGCTGAACGTTCTACAACACATCATCCACTTCATCAATGATCTGCACCTTGATACTGCCGTTGCTCAAGTCGCCACATGTGTGCAACGCATCAAGCGCCTTCTCCAACGGAAATGTGTGACTGACAAGCGGCTTCAGATCAAGAATACCACCAGCCAGGCACTGAAGGCCAGAGGGCCATGTATCGCGGTAGCGATTGATGAATTTAAGATCGATCTACAGCAGTGTCAGCAAACCCGGTTTCAAACTTGCCCACAGACGTGAAGATCATGAAGTGCAGTCACCTACCTCGGCAAGACTCAAATGCATAAATGGAAGATTATTCATAATCTCCCTCCCCACGCCGATAACCATGACCGTCCCCCCTCTCCTCGCCGTATACGCAGCAGTAACGACACTGCTCTCCACACCCGTGCACTCCAGCACAGTCTCCGGTGCGCCATACTCGCCCACGTTCTCGAAGTCGAACAACTCTCTAATCTTCTTTGCGTTGCCTTGCGCATCTAGATTGCGATCGACCTGGTACGTGGAAGCCGTTGGTACGAATTGCTTTGCGAACGCTAATCGCTTTGGCTCAAGATCCGTGACAACGAGGGGATGCGCTCCACTTGCTCTCGCTGCAGCAAGCGCGATGAGGCCGATGGGTCCCGCACCGCATATTACTGCGCCACATCCTAGAGATAAGCCGGCGGATTTGATACCATGCATCACGACGGAAAGTGGTTCGAGAAGTGCGCCTTCGGCGTACGATACGCTTGAAGGGAGTTTGTGACACCATTTCGCGGGATGCGTTTTGTAGCGTTGGATTGTACCGTGGTATGGATAGACACCGGCGAATTGGACGTCTTCACATAGGTTGTATCGGCCGTCCATGCAGAGGAAACATGAGCCGCATGGAACGCCTGGTTCAACTGCTACACGGTCGCCTGGAGTATATGTTAGTCAGTGAGGAGGAAGGAGGAAACTTCAATCTACCAGGCTTGAGACTCGTGACACCTTCACCACATTGTAAGACTATACCAGCTGCTTCATGGCCGAGGATACAATCTCCTTCGACGACGAGTGAACCTATTCTCCCAGCTTTCCAGAAATGGATGTCAGATCTCGCAGACCGTTATCAGCTTTGAACATGCCCGTCAAGTTGAAGCGTCTTACCCGCAAACACCCGTAGCCTTAATATGCAACAACACTTCTCCCTTTCCTGGCGCATACACAGACGCTTCTTGCAGCTTCAAATTATGGTCTGCGGTGACTTGTAGCGAGGGGTTTGGCAGCGGTGTCTTGATAGTAGATTTCTGTGTATGGGCTCCAGAAGCGGATGAAGAATCTACCAGTGCTGGGGTCATGTTGACTTGTCGCGGTGTAGACTTCAAACACTGCCAGCACGAGCAACTGGTGTCAATGTAGCAGGTGAGGATATGTGCGGATCAAGTAGCCCCACATGTTCAGCGCGCCAAGTTGCCATTCTTGCCAGAATGGTAATCCCATCCTCACCCAGGGGGCCGGAAAGCGCAGTAGTCGTGGCAAAATGCGGGGAAATCTCCAGCGGGATTGACAACGTAGTGTGTTGGTGGCTCTGGTTACCGAATTTGTCTAGTTAATGGCTTCGTCACCCAATAGGAAACGATGACACCGAATTTATCTCCGCAGCAGCGACGCGTCGGATTACCGAATGTGGCATGCCCGGCCAAATGTTCTGGATAGACGTCGAAGATTAGTTCGTAGCAGCACGAGAAGTACTTATGTATGATGCGCCTCTCGATGTTGTTGGATTCGTAGATCTACTGATGTTCGTATTGTGAAGTTCGCACCTCGCAAGAGTTTCCACTACCTCACATAATGCATACTTCGCAAGATTCGCCGCAGGTCAACGGCTCGACCAGTTACGGAAAGAATGTCGTGGACGGACTTCAAAAAGAGGCGAAGCTCGAGCAATCATCTATTCAGAAGTTATCAAAAGAGCAGGATCATGTCTTGAAGACTTTTAGACTGCTCATCGCAGATCTATGCCAGCAGTTCAATGGCGGACATCCCGGGTAGGTCCCCAGTCAGTCCTTGTACGTACGAAGCTGACCATGCGACAGAGGAGCTATTGGTATGGCAGCAATCGGTGTCGCGCTGTGGAAGTACGTCATGCGATACGCACCACATACACCTGACTACTTCAACCGAGACCGATTCGTCTTGTCAAATGGCCACACTTGTCTCTTTCAATACACGTTTCTGCACCTCACAGGCTACAAAGCCATGACTTTCGACCAGTTGAAGTCGTACCATTCAGAGCGCGCCGACGCGTTGTGTCCAGGACATCCCGAAATCGAACATGAAGGCATCGAGGTGACGACTGGCCCGTTAGGACAGGGCGTAGCCAATGCTGTCGGGCTGGCGATGGCAACGAAGAACCTTCAGGCAATCTACAATAAACCGGATTTCGACGTGGTGTCGAATCACACATGGTGTATGATCGGAGATGCATGTCTGCAGGAGGGTGTTGCTCTGGAAGCAATTTCTTTCGCTGGCCATTTGAAGCTCAACAACCTTACGATCATTTACGATAACAACCAAGTTACCTGCGACGGTTCTGTCGACCTTACCAACACAGAAGACGTCAACGCCAAGATGGCAGCATGCGGCTGGGATATCATCGACATTGAAGATGGGTGTTTTGACATCGAAGGCCTTGTCGAAGCTCTGAACGAAGCGCGATCCTCTACCGAGAAGCCCACATTCATCAACGTCCGGACGGTGATTGGTCTTGGCAGTGCTGTCGCAGGCGATGCCACTGCACACGGTATGGCATTCGGAGCAGCTGATGTGGCCAACATGAAGAAAGCTTACGGCTTCAGCCCTGAGGAACATTTTGTTGTCAGCGAAGAGGTGCGCAGATTCTTCGAAGACATCCCCGCGATAGGAGAGGAGCTCGTAAAATCGTGGGAGAAGAAAGTAGAAAAGTATCAGAACAAGTACCCGGAGGAGGGTGCTGACTTTAGACGCCGCGTCGAGGGTCGTCTGACAGACAACTGGAAGGAGTTGATCCCAAGCTCGTTTCCGGAGGCGCCTACAGCAACAAGAAAAGCGTCAGGCCTTGTCTTCAACACGATTGCTGAGAAGATTAACAACTTCATGGTCGGCACCGCTGATCTGACGCCTTCTGTCAACATGAATTGGAAGGGCAAAGTCGATTTTCAAAATGTAAGCAGTGCTCATCCCATTGGAAGCGTGATTGCTAACTCCACCTAGCCCGACCTGAAGACCACATGTGGCATTGTGGGCAACTACAGCGGACGCTATATCCACTATGGTGTGCGAGAGCATGCCATGTGCGCCATCTCCAACGGTTTGGCAGCATACGCACCAAACACTTTTATCCCCGTTACATCTTCTTTCTTCATGTTCTACCTCTATGCTGCCCCTGCCGTACGTATGGGTGCCCTGCAACGCCTTCAGGTCATACATGCGGCCACACACGACAGCATCGGAATGGGCGAAGATGGCCCAACTCATCAGCCGATTGAGCTCGCCAACCTGTACCGCGCGATGCCGAATATATTATACATTCGACCAGCCGATAGCGAGGAGACGGCAGGCGCGTGGATTACAGCAATCGAGGCGAAGAACACACCGAGCATCATCTCGACATCTCGGCATACCCTTCCTCAACTACCGCAAACGAAGCGAGACCTGGTTGCGAAGGGCGCATACGTGATCGACGAGGTGGAGGACGCGGATGTGACGCTTATCGGTGTCGGTGCAGAGCTGCATCATGCTGTTGATACAGCGAAGGAGCTCAAGGCGAAGAACATCAAGGCACGAGTCGTGAGCTTCCCATGTCAGCGCTTGTTCGATGCACAACCTACACAATACAAGCGGGACACGCTGCGAAGGCATCGCGGGATTCCGGCTGTCGTCATTGAGCCGTTCGCGCCCAACGGGTGGGAGAGATATGCCGATGCCGCTTGTTGCATGAAGCGCTTCGGTCACAGTTTGCCGGGCAAAGCTGCCTATAAATATTTCGGGTTCGACGTGCCTGCGCTGACGGCCAAGGTAGAGAGCTACCTGCAGCAGGTTCGCGACGATCCGCTGCTGAAGGGCGAATTCGTCGATTTATGAGGCTGGTGTAGTAGAGATTGAGTAATTAATCGAATGTACATATGACCATACTACCCCTCCTTTGACTGCGCATGCGTGTCACCTGGGCTCTCTATCGCGATTGAGGTGGTGAAGCATGTCAGGATGCACGACGCGTCGAGCGCGTTCCGCGCCTGCTCACGTGAGTCGCAAGCGTCCCCACATGGGCACTTTGTCGGCACTCTCGCAGCTACTTGCGCCTCGTGACGTACACCCCGGTGGTGCCAAGGCGTTGCCTCCATGATCACATGTATCTCCATCCTACCATCCTACATCCAATGGCGTCTCAACCGCCTCCTGCACCGAGGAATGCAAGGCTGAAGTTTGTTCCGCGGTATCCTTCGCTGTTCTGCCGCTTCTACCCACGCGCGCCTGCCTTGCTACATGACCTTTACCCTCTACATCTTGCCCCAGTTCACTCTCACTGATCCGCTAAAACAACAGCTTATCCACACTATGTACAAGCCGCTGGCGTCGCCGACAACAATTCGGGTTCTGCACGTTCATCCTGCGCCCGAAGCAGATCCTCTCACATGCAGCCTGGAGCATTGCGATCTCGATAGAAACCCAGAGTATGAGGCCGTTTCGTACGTCTGGGGCGACTCAGATCTGTCATGTTCGATTACCTGCGATTCCAAGGTCGTCGCAGTGACTTGCAGTTTGTATCAGTCTCTCCTAAGAGTTCGGTCACCGGATCAGCGTCGGACAGTATGGATTGACGGACTGTGCATTAATCAAATTGACGATGTCGAGAAGTCACATCAAGTGCAGCTCATGCAACGTGTCTTCCGTAACGCGCACCGAGTCCTAGTATGGCTAGGTCCTGACTTACACGGCCAAGCCCGAGACGCATTCGATATCTGCGTTACGCTGGGCCAGCGAGATATGGATTCTGAAGAGCTCGAGACTACGTTGACAAGAATGAATCTGTTCATGGACAGATACCCTGGAAATTGGTACTCCTTTCGTGCCTTGTCTCAGATTCCCTGGTGGGGCCGTGTCTGGATCATACAGGAATTTGCTCTCGCAAAGGACTTGCTGTTCATGTGGGCCGCGGAAGAATCCCAATGGACGCTTATCAACCTGGCGATTAGTAACCTGTCAAAACCAGGCGTGATGTGGCGCTTCACGCCATTCAATGTTCAGATACTCGAACCTATGACTCGATTGTCTGCAATCAAGGAGCGGCGCTGCTACGCGAAGAATTTCATGGGAACGATCCATACGGCCAGGGCATTTGAATGTTCAGACAGTCGCGATCGGATCTTTGGAATTTTGGGACTCGGTTACGGCGATGACCATTGGGCAGCAGCAGACCCCGCTGGACAATCGCTAGCTAAAGCTATCATACCGGACTACGCTTTACCTGTGGAGCATGTTTATCGGCAATTTGCTATCCGGGCCCTGCAGCAAGATTTGACAGAAGACGTTTTCTTGGCGATTCAACACCAGGAACAGCTGGAACAGTGGCAGCCGGGTAACATGCCGTCGTGGTCACCACGTTGGGATCTGCCTCTTGTCAACAATTTTTCATTCTGTCACAGACTGCACGAAATTTGTAAGTTCGACGGTCTTGCCGTAGAGAATGGTATCTCGTTTAGAGGATCCGTTTCTGAGCGGCTGTCTGTATTGCAATCACACTTCGACCCGCTCGCTATTGACACTCTCAACGTGTTAAGCGCTACTTTAGAACAAATCGTCGCCCTCTCGGATATCATGGGGTTCCTGCAGTTCAGACTCCCGGGAACCATTTTGGAGAGCTTCTGGGAAGATAATATCAGGCCTGGAGAAGCAGACCCCGGATACAAGGCCGTCATGACAGACTTATGTGAGACCGCTACCTACTATATGACTTCCGAAAATCACGTCAGTGCTTTCTACGCGGCTTCTCAACACCCGGTCCAAAGATCACCAGACGCAATAGCGAATTATGCAAGACACGGAGAGCATGCCATGTTGAGGTCCATAGCGCAGCTGCTGTTGGAGACGAGCGAAATTGCATCTGTACAAGACCCGACCCTGCTAGATAAAGAAAAGGGCGAACATGGTTATTTCAAGAGGTTTTACATCACGCGTCAAGGCTATGTTGGGATGTGTCCAGCCGCCGCTCAGCCTGGGGATCATGTCGCCCTATTGTGGAACACCGATTGCCCTGTGGTCTTGCGTCCACAGGATGACTTTTATCGTATCGTTGGCGGCTCATACATGGCAGGTTTGAACAGGAAGAAGATGGAAGGCGTTCCTCACCCACTCTACGATCTATTGTCGGGCAAGCTGCAGCCAGGAATGATTCAGATCCGCTGATCGAAAGAGCTGCACATTGAGTGTGAACGCACTTTTGATCTGTGAGCAGATTCATGATGGCATCCCACAGGCCTCATGCGGCATGGCCATTGCACGATTACGCTTTTTGGTGTGAGTCTTAGTGCAAAAAGACCACATAGAACCACAAAGTAAAAAGCCAAGAGTCTACGGCTGCGGACGGTAGCGCCCCGCTATGTACAGATTCATCGGGAGGCCCCGCGGCAAGCGCCACCGGTAGCCTCCGACATGTAGATGAGGAGTAACCCCATCAACAGACACCGCGAGCGATAAGGAGGAGCAGTATCTTTAGTCTAAATTGAAGCCTACACCACTCAAAGGCTGAATCACAAGCCATCACAAGATCCATCTCAGCTACTTAGTCAAGCGTCCACGAAATGTCTTCCCACACGACCTCAATATCGCTACCACCCGAGGAGCTCGTCTCAAGCTTGCTATCTACTATCGAAGATAGCATCATACCTCTGACGCAAAAAGGCGTCTCGAGCGGCTCCAAACTCTTCGGGGCAGCTATTCTTTCCCGCAAAAACCTTACGCCATACACTCTCGCTACGAATAACGAGCGCATCTCGCCCCTCTTACACGGCGAGATCAACTGCATTCAACAATTCTGCACCGTCGACTTCCCTGACCCATCAACACGACCTCATCCCGCCAAAGACTGCATCTTCCTTGCTACCCACGAGCCCTGTTCATTGTGTTTAAGCGGCATAACATGGGCGGGTTTTAACGAGTTCTACTACTTGTTCACGTACGAGGATAGTAGGGATCTCTTCGGGATCCCGTACGATATCGACATCCTACAAGAGGTATTTCGGGTACAAGGGCAGGGCGAGACTGAAGAGCAGGTACAAATCAGGCAGCTCTACAACCGCAAGAACAAGTTCTTCACTGCGAAGAGCTTCGCCGATGTCGTTGGGGAGATTGAAGATGAAAGCAGCAGAACGAGGTTGCTAGGTGAAATTGACAGAGTCAAAAGTCTCTACAATAGTCTGAGCGAGACTTATCAAAAGGGGAAAGAGGCGGGTACAGAAAGTTCAAGTGTGTGGAAGTAGATCATGATGGTCTCTCTTTGGCACGGTCATTGTTCGGTGTTGGTAAACTTCAAGTGCGGCTTCAAGTTCCGGTTTCCAAGGTGTCGCTTTTAGCCCCGCATTTATCGATAACAAATTTCAGCTAGCTTCGACCCCTCCGAATGCCTGCGCATGTGGTGTCAAATTTCAAGTGAAAGAGAATCTGACTCAAACAGAAATTAATTCTGTCATTCCCAATCCGTGGTGCCGCATCGCGTACTTTCATCTCGTCTTCTCTTTCGAGTCTTTTCGCCAGCCCGTTGCGCAGTTTTCTGACAGGCCGCGACTGTCAGCGAGGTCATCCGGAAACGGTCGAAATTTTGGTGGGCGAAGAAGAACCCCAGCAACGCTGTATAACCAATTTCCAGAAGCCGGTCGGGGCTCGACGGCACAGGTCGGAAAGATGGCGAACAGCCAACGAGAAGATAACACAATCTACCTCACAGAGAATGAGGCGGAACGCATCCAGAACACCATCAGAGACCGGTTAAAAAAGTGCGAAGAGCAAAGCGGCAATGTAAAGGTTCCAAGAGACAAGTTGGCTGCTCACCAGGCGGCCACTGGTGCAGCTTTAATGGCAGATATGGGCGGTGCGCCAGATCCGGATATGCTTCAGACGCAAGGCAAGACGTCAACTACGATTCCGGTCATTGGCGTAGGCCGACCGTATCCGCCATGCACGACTCCGCTGTCAGATCTAGAACCGATGAAAATGTCAGATCTTAAGATGGAGACGCATCACCGTGGCCGTAAACTGGTGGTCAAGCGAGAAAGCCCTGTAGTCACACTCGTAGCGAGGTCATGGACTATGGTTCAAAATGAGGATGGGACTGACGCAGAGCGTCTGGAAATACTGCTGCACAAGTCGCGATATGGCGAGGATGTACTGGAGTCGACCAAGCTTTTCATCATCAAAGAGCCATATTTTACTCTCACCGAGCAGGGCGAGCCTACACTACGCATCGATCATCCTTCAGACCTGGTCATATGCCATGAAGAAGGCTCCAAGAGCTTCGAGGATGCCGCAGCAGCAGACAAGGCGGCCACAAGGTTCAAAATTCAAGGGAACAACGCACTCAAGAAACAAGATCTCCCATTGGCCCATGAGAAGTACACAGCAGGCCTAGCGATCGCAAAGCAAGACATTTTAGCAGAAGCGAACCCAGATCTAGCCCGCGACATCTCCCGTAATCGCGCATACGTGAATTTACTACTGGGCCGACTAGATGAAGTGAAGACCGACGCCCGCGCTTCCCTAACCGGACGCGAAGACCAAAAGTCAAAAGAACTGGACAGCAAAGCCTACTACCGCGCCGGCTCAGCCGCATACGCCCAAAGCCACTGGCAAGAAGCCAAGCAGTTCTTTCTCGAGCAACAGAAGCTCACTCCCGACGACAAAGACGCCAAACTTCAACTCAAGAAGATTGAAGCGCGTCTCCGAGAAGAACAAACAGGAGGGTACGACCTAATGAAGATCCGCACCAACCTCTCCAAAGCCCGCTCTCGAGTCGACGCGGGAAACTTCACCAAAAACACGCTCGTAAAAGACAGTCCCGGAAAAGGCCGCGGACTCTACGCGACCCGCGACCTCGCCACCGGCGACATCGTCATGTGCGAAAAAGCCTTCTGCGTAGTCTGGGGCCACGAAGAAGACACCCTAACAGCCATGACCTACGACACGCGCGACGACCGAATCCGGGTTGCACCCGTCGGCCTCGCGAAAGCACTCGTACAGAAATGCCTAAACCAGCCTTCTCAAACTGAACACCTGATGGATCTCTTCGGCGACTACCAAGGCGAAGGCCCACAGGTTTTCAGTAACGAAGACGGTGCTATTGTAGACGTATTCCGCGTCCACGACATCATGTCGCGGAACGGTTTCGGGCCTGGAAGTCAATTCGGCGAGGAAAGCGCTAGGAACGCTAGCACGGGACTTTGGCGCCACGCCGCTTATATCAACCATTCTTGCCTTTCCAACACAACGAAGGAGTTCGCAGGCGACATGATTATCATCCGCGCCACCCAGCCCATCAATTCCGGCGAAGAGATCTTCCATCCCTACGACGCGTCGCTTGATTATGAAACTAGGCAGGGTTTCCTAGAGCGGACCTGGGGTTTCAGATGCCAGTGTAAGTTGTGTGATGCGGAGAAAGAGGATGGCAAGGAGGTGAGGGATAAGAGGATGGAGTTGGTGGGAGAGGCGGATGCTTTTATTGATAAGACGCCTTGGGCGGGGGCGAAGAGACTACAGCTGAGGAAGGCGCAGGGGATACTGAGGGAGATGGACAAGACGTATGATGAGGGGAGGTGGGAGGGGTTGCCTAGGAGGCATACAGAGGGGATTAGGGCGTGGTTGGTTAGGGCGAGTCCACGATAGAGCGAGTAATGGGGGAGAATTGTTGCGAAGAATGTGGGAAGTAAGGAAGTGTGAAGATATAGGTTGGTATATCGCTAGTTCAGAGTACAAATATATGAGCAAGTGTCTAGTCACCAGCGACTTCCCCATCTATCATTACACCGAAAGAAGGACGAGATCAAGTATCAACCAAGTCCGCTCAAACCTTCGTCTGCTTCGTCTCCATCATCTTAGGCTCCTCATACGGTGGTGCAGCTCCAGTTTCTTCGCTGGCTATCGCCATAATCGTGTTTGTGTTATCAATTGTCTCCAGAGGCGCAACTGGCTTGTCACCGAGAAGGACCTTTTCGGATGGGATGATCCAGTTGAACCAAGATGGCATCAACAAACCCAGAACGATGGTTGGCAGCACAAGGTGCACGATGCTGAAGCCGTAGATCATGATGGGGTCGAACATGTGCTGTTGTGTGAACTTGGGGTAGGCGAATGAGAGGACAATGGCGAGAATGGGACCGGAGATGTACTATAAGGCAAGTCAGCGAAATGCAGGAATGAAAGTTGGGGAAATACGGTATGACATACCTTCATGATAACAGCCCAGTAAAAGGGAATATTCCAGTTCTTTCCCACTCCAATAGTAACATTCATATCCCTGGTAAGCTGGTGTCCAGGGTAGAAAGCGACCCACCAGAAGCGGCTCATGAACTTGTTGTTGCCGAAGAAGCGGGGGCCGGGGATAGCGGGTGTTCTGGCAGCGAAGATCGCGATCAAAGAGCTGACGATGAAGAAGGCGAAACCAACGCCAGCACCGGTTCCTGGAGTCGAGCCGTAAGCGACGCGTATACCGAGGCCCTGGGCGACGGCGAAACCGAAGGTGAAGATGAGGTACGCGGGCCAGCCGACTTGGTGTGCAACGTCGCGGCAGCGGTAGAGCGATGTTGCGGCGAAGGTTTCGCACCAGACTATCAAGTACTTTAGTTCGCTTCGGGGGGATTTCTAGAGTGGGAGACTGACCTGTGAAAAAAAGGGCGACGTCGTTGACGTAGGTGTCAACTGCATCGAGAGCCTGCAGACCAAACTCGGTGCAGTAGATTAGGGAGATGAGTGCAGAGACAATGGTTACAATAGTGCAGACGGCCCAGCGTGGGAGTTTTCGTCCCCAGTTCGTGTCCATGATGAGTGTAGTCATGACTTCGAGGAGAGAGAAGGCGGATGTAAGACCGAGGAGGAAGAGAGTGAAGACTGCACGAGGAACGATTAGCATGTTCGTTCATTCAGAAGAGGATACTGAGAAGCTCACAAAAAACCACGGAGAAGAATGGAGCACCTGGCATCTGTGCAAGAGCCTCGGGGTACGTGATGAAACCAGTAACGAAGGTACCGAGCTGCGTGCCGCTGGAGGGATCAATTTCCAGATAGCCGACGACACCGAAAACTGAGAAAGCGGCGATGATTTCAACAGCAGAGTTACTGAAGCCAATGATAAGAGCATCTTGTACGGCGTTGGAGTGCGACGAGCAGTAAGACGCCCACGATGTGAAATATCTAGTAATGCGTCAGTATAATTTTCTTTCTGAGACGTGTAACTAAACATACCCAAAACCAACACCGATGGAGAAGAAGATCTGACCGAAAGCCGCTTGCCAGATCTGAGGGCTCTCGAGTGCGCTGGTGCGCCATGTCGCGAAGTAAAGCTTGATGCCTTCTCCAGCATTAGGTAGCGATACTCCACGGCCGATGAGAATGATAATAAGGACGAGGGGGAGACCCATGGTAACGTAGATGACACGTCCGGTCATACCAACACCCCTGAAGACGCACAACCAGGTGACAAACCAAGTGAAAATGGCCCAACCCGCGGTTTCTCCTAGCATACCAGTCCCGACGTATTGAGTGTACGAAGCGACACTGCCATCGGGGTTGAAGCTACCAGTGGAAGCTGCGGCTGTGTTGGCAACGATGACGTTGGCGAAGTACTCCTCGAGGTCCTGGCCTTTCCAAGGCAAAGGGCTTTGGAAACTGCGGGAGAAGTACTTCATGATCCATGCTAGGAGGGGTACGTAGTAAGTAACAACAACATACTATGGGATTGCGACATCAGCATTTCTTCTTCAGTGTTGCAAGTCAATTCACTTACGCCGTTGAATACGACCGCTAGACCGATGCCTTTAGCGCGCTTGTTGTTGCTGTGCCACGCGAGCACTGGGCCACCACGGTAAACGCTACCGAGCGCGATCTCAAGGACCAGGACAGGCAAAGCGACGAAGAATAGGGCGATGAAGTAAGGGATGAAGAATTGGAGACCGTAGTTGTTGTACACGACGGATGGGAAGCGCAAAAGGTTACCAAGACCAACAGCACCGCCCATGGCGCAGAGGACGAACTGAATGCGGTTCGAGAACATGTCGCGTCCATCTTCGCTCTTCTTCGCCGCAGGCGAGAGCTTCATGAGTATGTTTTTAATTGCTGCCATCTTGACGTCTGGGCGTAGGCAGGTAGAGAATGTGAGAAGAGGAGTTTGTCGCTCCTGGAAGAGTGACGGAGTCAATTCACGACTCTGGAAAGTGAGTTGCGAGGACGAACGTGAAGGTCGAAAAGTAAGATCTGCGCAGCGTGATCCCGGTATATAGATTCGTACAATCTGATTGTCGTGCCACATATCCTATCTCTCCAAGCATGTGCCCAGCCCAAGCAATCGCCCACCTTCCTTCTACAAACAGCACTAGTAGTGTGGCGCTCGCATCCAAGGCTTCCCCAGATCCTGCGCAGAGGCTCCGTTAGCTTGGGCGTACCCTACCACTCGGGTACAACGGGTCTTGGGTGATCAGCAGCTCTAC